GTGTTTGTCAACGTTAGGTACATCATCTGAGTCATCTGCGGTGTTGATAAATATCTTAACAGCCTGAAACAATTGAACGTGAATGTAACATCTGAATGAAAGGAAGTTCAACTTACTTTCTTGAGTAATAACATTCGGGCTATAACACCATTCCATGAGCCCCATCGAGTTTTGCAGTACGGGAGAAGCTCGAGCTCTTGCTGAAGTGCATCTTCACAGCACTTCTTGAAGTACTTCTTGGCTTATGGGGACCGTCGAACCTGCTGTGACAATAAATTAAATAATGAACAACAACCCTCGATAGTTGCCTTGAAGGTACCTGTGCAATAAATCCTCGAACCTTCAGTAGAAGCCCCGAAACTACTTTTACCTGTTCCAAACCAGCAGGCAGGTTTGCACATGCAGTCTCGGCATCTTGGATAAGAGCCTCAATTCCTTCTTCCATGTCTTCATCATCAGCACTGGCATCAATCTCGCCCAAGGTGTCTGAAGGAGGTGGAATCACAGAGGCATCTTCGACTGTTCCCACAGAATTCTTTTTCTTGATGCTGGGAGATAGCTTCGTCAAAAATGCCCCTTCGGCAAGGGCCACTGCATGCGAGAAGCAGCTAATGCAACTTAGTAAAACAACAATCATGAGATTTTGACAGTACCAACTGCGAGCGCTGCGCTGTTGCATTAAAGTCGTGTGACTTCGCCCTCAATTTCTTGCCCAGGACACGCAAACTTTTATCGTTCACAGAGACATTGTCAGCCATGATGTTCTGTACCTAATATGCACCATGAGCAACACACAACATAGCAAAACTCGAATCAACCTTATCGGAGATGCCAAACTTATCCAAAATATCATATAATTCCTCGCCAAGGTTCTCGCCAGTATGACTACCCAGAACCTCTGAAAAAGATAACAATTCGGAATGCAGCTGCCATTCTCTTGTCATCCAATGCCCCGTTACAGCAAGATATGATGTCATTATCTTTGATGTCCACCCATCAAAAGTCAGGGAAACACGACCAGGAGATTCCTGTTTATTATATATAAATTATGGCCCTTGAAAAAACACGTCTCGTACCTGTAATTCCTCGGCAAGATCCCTTTGAATTTCATCTGCACGTTCGAGAACACAGGTGGTAATTTTCGTCCGATGCAGGATATCAGCATCTTTGGTTTTGTTCCGGCTGTTGTAAGTGAGAAGGTCACGAAACGACTTATGGTTGACAAGTGATAGTGCCTGTGCAGATATTGTCAATGCTGACAGGCGAATTATGTGGTCATTCACACACCTGATCAGTCTCCAAAACGAAGCGAATGATATGTTCTTGCAGACCATCTTTCGTATATTGAGGCTCTGTTGTAGGTTTCACCGTCTCCGCAAAGTCAATAATGCTTTGTTGCCTATCAAAAAACAAGTCAGCATCAGGTAAAGGTATACTCAACAATTCAAAATGAATTGTGTGTAATTTACGTATTGGTTGCCTTGCCTTCCAAACGGTCCAATTCTTCCTGCGGAACACATCGTTCGTCCATGTCAATGTCTTGCTGCACGCACTTCTCACAGTATTGACGGTAGTGAGACATGCCCATACGTTGGATGTGAGTGCGCATAGCAGTGTTGTTGCCTTTGAAGATAGTTTGCAGTTTGCCATGCTTTTTCGGATTGGCTTCACGAAGCTCGCTAGTACAAGCCAAGTGAGTCTCCAACAAACATGAAACATAAGTTTGGTACTCACACACAAGGCTCACAGACATAACCTTGTGAAGGATCCTCGTCGTCGACCAGCTTGAAGATTGTCAGAATGTCCATGGCACCATCACCTCTTTTGCGTTTTTTCTTGACCAGCTCGGATGCTGTATCATCAGCAGTCTCATCTTCGACTGATGTAGATGACCCTGTACGATGAAGCCCATTTTGCTTTACACGTGCGATCGCTGGTGTTACAGTCTTCTTCAACTTTGCGTTGGTACCAGCCTGCCCTTTTGGGCGAGTTAATGCCGTTAGCGTTGGATCGGAAGTTGCTGCAGGTGCGGAATTGTCAGCCGTTTTTCGTTTGCAAGGATTCGTGAAGTCAGTGGGGGTTGAAGATATAATTTTTAATGGGGTTGGTGAAGACGGCCTATTCCTTGCAGGTATTTTGAGGGTCAAAGGTGTGTGTTGACTAGTAGGAGATTGAACCCATTCCATCTCTTCAGCGTTTTTTAGGGAGCCGTCGGGATTGAGTGCTGGAGCATCGAATTGCAGAGGCATTTTGATGTACTCGCTGCTCGCAGTTGAATAGGTAGATCAGTGTTTTTAGAATTTCTGCCGGCTGCATGACCAAAACAAAAATTGAGCTTCCTCTTTCTCAAAATGATTATTCAACATTTGTAGTACATATGGTGTGGTTACGGTTCGAACACGTTCACTACGGTTCACACAAAAAGCCCAGCGCCCGAACCATGAACCTCTCCCAGTGCGTATCAGTCGAACCCAACCGTAACCGCACCGCACTGTCGGTGCAGTTTGCGGTGCAGAACCGGTTCGGGCAGTTCAGAACCGCACCACGGCAACTTTACTCCTGGATCTCAACATTTCCCACACTGCTCCCTAGCATATTCCTGCCCACTACACCACATCCACCTATCTACTGTAGAGAATGATTATTGTATGATATGTACACATAATAGGTCACAATAGAACACTTTTTTGTCTGTTTTTGTCCCAACACAAGCTCCAGAAACCTACACATATAATACAGGAAAAAATATATATGAAAAACACATTCGCATTTTTGCCCCTTCAATGGTAGAATGTCTTAACACACTATTTACATCAGGAAAACCCTCCTGGGCTAAATATCAGTGATTATTGACAATTATTGACGGATTACTCAGAAAGCAACTGATTTCAAGGATCACATAGATTATTTTGCCCCAAGAAACTTTGACAGAAATGTTTCTAACCATTAGCTATTTGACTAATTTGTCAAGCATTCAAGAGACCATCCATTCAAATTTCAGCATACAATGTTCACCAATTTCCCTGCCATCAGACAGCATTACACGAACAAATTAGTTTTTGATTAGAAAAGGGTATGTAATAGCTAGTAATGACTGGAATAGAGACATATCAATCAATGCCGTGAGTCTTGACAATCTGTTATGACCAGAGTTCACCGAATGGCAAAGTCTGACAACAACCACTAGGACTCGGTCAAGAGTGATGATGAGAACAGGATAGTATTGAGTGTGAACGTCTAAGTCACTACAACAGTAGGAAACGAAGAGGTTAAGTCTAAGGAGTACTTACACTAACTAACCTACTTATATACATAACATTGAATAGGAGTCTGAAAGAAATCAGCCAATGAGAAAAGAGTTGTACAATACTGTGGATGACTAAGTATGACATCATGATATATAAGCGAATGAGTAATATGGCAACTAAATAGAAACCCAAGCTCCGACTGGTTCTTCTTTGGGAAGCGAGATTGTTCTAGCCCGTGGAGTAGGGGAGCCAATTGGAGAAGCAACAGGTGATATATGACGAGGAGTCACGTGACCGGTTTGGGTACTGGAAGTAGCCGAAGGAAAACCGAGAAATGAAAAATGGTTCGTATTTGGAATTCGTGACACAATCTTTGAATCACATAGGTACACCGAAAGAGCAGATTCCCGTCACTAGTCTTCCTCCATACCCTCAAGGTCAAGCAGTTCAAAGGTGTTCAGCTCGATGTGATCCCCAGTAGCACCATTGCGTTTCAACTTACTGTAAGCCAAGTGACGAGTCAGTAATGAGCATTGAGGACTAAGAACACTCACTGTGCAGCCTCGTAAATATCTGCCATCATATAATGGAACTTTCCAGGTGCATCGTGCTTCAGCTGTTCGAGGGACTTGACATGGTAGCTGTAAACTTCGCTGAATTGGTTTCCAGAGAAGTTGAACTTCCCTGGAGAACCAAGTGACTTCCATAAAAGAGCGGAATAAACCTATGAAAAGTTGAGCAGCATATTCACAGAGTAAAGACAAGCACACTACCGCTGTTGCCACCAGTGCGAGGAAGGGTATCGGAATTTCGGGACGCTTCGACTTGTTCTTGGCAATTTCGACAAAGCGTGATGCGAATTTCATGCCAATGGCCCTTGAGCTATGAAAGAGCTGGTTAGATATCAACAATATGAGGATTTCACCCTGGTAGGGCCTGTTCCTGACGGGTGTGGCATTATTGTTGACCTGAAAAAGAGGTACAACTATCAGCGACAGCCAGAGAAAGTGTAAAGGACTCACATCGAACTTCATAGCATAGATGTAAACTAGCTTTTCCGTCAATGTTTTCGCCTTTGCGAAGTCCTTGTGCCCAAGGCGGAAGTAGCCATCAATGTTTGTGCAAGCGTCGTCTTTCAGTTTGTGGCGCATTATTGGGATGCGTGCATCCACCTCAGATAAATTAAGGATGATTAGAAATATCCTGGGTAAGCACTGCAACTGAATCAACTCACCAAGGCACCGAGCTGTAAAGCATACAGCTCATCTACTTGAAGATGTTCTTTGATTGTGTCCACACCACGTTTCTCAGCCATGGCTAACAAAGTTTGCATTGAGAGCTGGTTCTTTTCGACTAATTCGGGGTACCCATGGACAAACATCACATGGCACTTGACTTCAGAGATAGCAGCTTGAATGACCTGGCGAGTCTGTAGATTCTGATCGAGAAGTTTGACTTTGCCTTTCTCGGTTCAAACAAGCGAGGTGACACTCTTTTTTGCAGAGGTTCGGGCAAGTTTTGCAGTACCTTCATTGTCAGAGGAAATCGACAATTCACCAGCAGTAGTGGTACTTTCAACGGACTCTGAAAGGGCATCATCGACATCGCCCCAGGTCGGAGTTCAATGCATCAAGGACAGTGATAAAAAAAACTTATTTAAATTCAACAGTTCTCACCTCTGTCGCTCATTTCCTATCAGCAGCAGATAAGCAGTCGGCACCACAGTCAGACACCTTTGAAGACTTCCGAGGTTTCTGGCTGTGTGTGACAAGTGAAGCAACCTTTTTGTTTGTGAGGACTTATGATGTTGACGAAATGTTAAAGTACTACTTACCTCATCTGAAAGCATCCTCGCAGCCGCATCTAAATCATCATCTTCTGAGTCATTGAGACCTGCGGCGTCACTGTCACTGTCATGGTCACTGTCAGCACCTGCATCATGGACATTGTGCTGAGCATCATCCGAGTCAACATCACTCTGCTCATGTTCTGAGATCAGTAACATGACGTTCACATCTTGCATGGCGAAAGTGTGACAAAGTTTGCTTGGGTGCTGATAATGGGATGCTGTGCACACATGACTTGTAAGACTTCCTTTTTGGCCAGTGAACGAGATGACTAACCTTTCTTATCTCCTTCACTAAAGCTATCATGGTCACTGGCCTCCGACTCAGATTCAATGCGCTGACACTCTGCGCAAATTTTTGTACATCAGTAAGTGGCAATTTATATCATGCGAGAAACACATACTCAGTGTCAAAGGTTTCTGCCCCAGACTCTGTTTATGAGGCGTTTTGGATACTTTGGTGCTGGGAGCTCTCTTCTTTGTGGCCAAGCCTCTTGCACCTTGCTCGGCTGGCGATGTCTGTCGCTTGCATTTGTCCTGCTTCCACACTATTTTCAGGTTAGTAGCGAGTTTTTCCTTGTGTCCTTCTCACTCACCTGCATTCTCCAAAGCCCTCGTTTTTGCACCACATAAGAGTGTTTCCAACTCTATGGAGGTCCTTTGAGACAGTGTCTGTGCTTGTCTTTATGGGCACTTACTCTGAGGTGCGGTCATTTTAACTCATTCAGTTGGGACTTGAATTACTAAAAAAAAAGTAGAGAGCAGAAAATTCGGACTGCCAGGGAGTGTGATTGTCGGGGACTGGTAGGGAGTGTGATTGACAGAGACTGGTAGGGAGTGTGATGGAGGTAAGAGTAAAATAATTTTGAGTTTCAGAATGGAGGCCACTAAATTTTGTAGTACAGCCACACGCATCTCGGACACAGTCTGTCCCTGACTTGACTTTACTAGGTGGGTTAGCACTCTCAAACAATTACCTCAGGCTTACCCTCTTCTGCTTTCACCCACTTATTCACTCATTTTCTTTAGTATGAGCCTCCAGACGTGCCCAGCATGTGGCCGTAACAATTTCACTGTCACTGGCCTTAGCCAGCATCTCGCAAAGAGCTGTGACTCCTGATGTCAAGCACTCTACAGGAATTCACGCTCCCGAACAAACCCAAATCCAGTCAACAAAACCACCGAAAATTTCGCACCTGAGTCAGGGCATCCCAAGGTTCGCCAATTTCTTTGGTTAGTTTGGTTAGTTTGAAGCTGAAGGTTCTGACCGCTCTTACTCTCAGTTTGACTACTCTGCTTACTTTGAAGCTGAAGGTGACGCCTCTGAACACTCTCGCTCTCAATGGACTGTGAGTTTTTTTGCTTACATACTTTGGTTAATTTGAAGCTGAATTCAGTTCTGTGTTCTCAGGGAGAGGATAACGACCCTGATCAGTCTCATTCACAGGGAGAGGATAGCGACTCTGACAATAATCTGGTGAGTGGACTTTGGTTAATTTGAAGCTGAAGGTTCAGTACTGAATCCTCTCGTTATCAGGGAGAGGACATTGATGACTCATTCTTCGAACCTGAATGGGAGGTGCCAGTGCCGTCGCTACATGAGGATGGCAGCCTTGATGATACCGACCTACCTGAGGACGGCACCTTCAACAATATCAATGATAGCGAAGCTCACAATACTCGTCAGGACATCAAGGCTCGGGCACAGGGGCATCATGGATGTGTAGTTGTGCCTTATCCTGACCCATGCTGTGGGGAATTCCCCCACTGTAGGTGTAAAACCCCGTCCTTTCTGCATCATCTCACATCAGTTCTGCGTATTCCACACGTTCCGCATTTCCCGCACATTGTCTGATGTGTTCCGCATTCCTGCGCATCCTTTGGAACCCGCCCGCACTATCTGATATTCCCATGCATTGTCGGACAACCTTCGCATGTCCTGTCCCCATCCTTCCAGGTCCATTGGTACACTGTATCTCTCTTCCCGCTGTTCCTAACGTTATCCGGATCAAACTGACACATGCCCTTATGGCACGGACCCCTATTCCGGAGTATTGCGCCCATGTGCACTGCCTGCCTTCACTTCCACTTCCTGAGAAGTTTACTACCTGTACCTCAGTGTTCCTTGAAAATAATCTTCCCTTTAAGTAGTGGTACTCAGGGCTTGGGTGTTTTTATTGAATCCCATCTTTTACCTTCCCACTTTCCCTTCACCTTACTAGAGGACCGCTTTGACTTATGCCCACTATCAATCTAACCTCCTGATATACTTCCTTCGACTTCGCCTGCGAGTTCCGACAAATCAGTACGTTCCACGCTTTATCCATTTGAGTTCTGTTTCATTCCTTTCCATTCCGCTTGAGTTCCGCTCGGGTTCCGCTTGTTCCACACGAGTTCTGCTTGTTCTGCTTGTTCCGCATTTTTGCGGATCCTCATCCTACCTGCGGTAGGGTTGATTAGGGTCGCTTAGACAGAGATTAGCACTCCCCAGTAGCAATCCCCTTTAGGGTCGAACATGCTTGTTCTCAAGTGAGGCAGCAGGCAGCAAAGACCCAACTGTGTAGTAGATTGATTTCTCTCCGCTGCACTTGTTGTACCCACAATGCGCTGGTCAAAGAACATCGCGACTTTCACCTGACCAGTCTGCAAATGTGATGTATGGAGCGCAACTGGTTGATGATGAGAATGATGAGAACCTGTACTACCCATTCGCTTCAAAGATTGAATGGGAGATAGCATGATGGGCCAAGCTTCGTGGGTCAAGCTCTACTGCATTTACAGACTTGCTCTCTATTGATGGAGTGAGAATTTTTATTTGTTGCATGAGTATCTAATTGATGACAACACTACTAGGTCAGTGAACGCTTGGGACTGTCATTCAAAAATGCGAACGAGCTGAACAAGTTGATTGACCATGAGCTTCTGACAGGATGACCGAAATTCAAATGAGAACAAGTCATTGTCGCTGGAGAAGCATTCAATGTGTATTACTGCGATATCATCAAATGTGTGAAGTCTTTATACGGCGATCCTGACTTTGCTCGATATCTCACATTTGCCCCCGAGCGGCACTATGCTGATGACGATGAGACTGTTCATTTATTCCACAACATGCATACTGGCAAATGGTGGTGGGAAATGCAGGTATGTTAGACTCGTTATTATATCAGACTTCATTACTTAACGTCTTTAGAAAAAACTCGATGCGCATCATCCTGGTGGAACTATAGTGCCAATTATCATTTCCTCCGACAAAACACAAGTGACCATGTTTCGCAACAAGACAGCCTACCCTGTGTATCTTACAATTGGCAACATACCGAATGAACTTCGGCACAAGCCTTCATCTGGTAGCCACATCCTTCTCACTTATCTGCCAACAAGCCGCCTCGAACATATTACAAACAAAGCATCTCGTCGTCGCGCTATTGCGAATTTGTACCATGCGTATTTGCGCCGTGTGCTTGCTCCACTCAAATCTGCTGGATCCGAGGGCATTTCCATGTGTAGTGGTGATGGTGCTTGTCGTCATTGCCATCTGTTATTTGCAAATTTTGTTGGTGACTACCCAGAACAACTCCTGACTACCGGTGTCAAATTTGGAGAGTGCCCAAAGTGTGATGTTGAAGCCAAGGATACAGGAAGTAATATGACACCATTTCACTTGTGAAATCTTAATGAGGTACTGGACGCACTTGCTGCATTCGACGACATAAATTTAGCATTTGTTCGAGCATGTGCCACAGCAGGCATCAAACCTATCATTCATCCTTTTTGGGAGGATCTGCCTTTCGCGAATATCTTTCACGCTATCACACCAGATGTCCTGCACCAGCTATATCAAGGTTTAATCAAGCATCTCCTGGCATGGTTGTCCGCAGCTTGTGGAGCGGCAGAAATCAATGCTCGTTGTCGACGGCTCCCTCCTAACCATCATGTCCGCCTATTCACAAAAGGCATCTCTTGCCTGTCACGCGTGAGCGGCACCGAACACGCACAAATATGCCGTTTCATCCTTGGTATCATTATCGACATCCGCTTGCCCAACAATCTTAATTCAGGTCATCTGCTTCAAGCAGTGCAGGGCCTACTCGACTTCCTGTATCTTGCGCAATACCCTTGTCATAGCTCCGAGACACTTCACTCACTCGACGAGGCATTGGATCTTTTCCATGAAAATAAGGACATTTTTATTCAGCTTGGTGTCCGAAATAATTTCAACTTACCAAAGTTGCATGCCACTCGTCATTACCACCTCATGATCACGTTGTTTGGTACTATAGACAACTACAATACTGAATACACTGAATGCCTCCACATTGACTTAGTGAAGGATGCTTACTGTGCTACCAACCACAAGGACGAGTTTGTTCAGATGACGTGCTGGCTCGAACGAAAGGAAAAAAATTTATGGCACCAGAAGTATGTTGATTGGTGTCTTGCTGGTGGCCACCAGTTCAAGCCGTACCATTCGCGTCCCCCGGATATGACATTCCGTCGTGAACAAGTGATGACGAAACATCCTACTTCAAAGGCTGTCAGCATTCAAAAATTGGTCGAAGATTACGGCACAACTCATTTTTGCGAGGCCCTCACACGCTACATTGTGCACAAAAGTCGAGGTGATCATTCTGTGCCGCTCCGCAATTGAGAACTTGATCATTTGGTGGGTGACATTCATTTTCCTTTCCACCGTCTGCCCGTCTTTCACAAGATCAAGTGGTGCTCAATTGATACTGGTGGTTTAACCAAGGGACATGTTACCTTGGACAGTGTCCACGCGAAGCCTCAACAAAAGTTGGGCTCTCATCTCATTCATCGGCGCTCTGACACTGCTTTCATTAGACTTGGTTACAAATGATCTCAAAGGTGCGTGATTCTGATTGTTACTCAAGGACTCATGGCTCACTGACTCGTTAGGTTTCAGTGTGGGGCAAGTTTGAGTTATATTCTCCTTGCCCCAAAAGTCTTTACAATTGCTCTTTCCACCCACTGTCAACATTCCTCCTCACCTTGCATATATCAAATGGTTCACTCCCTTCCCATCTGCTCCTGACCGAAACAATGGACTTTATAAACTGTCAAGATTGATGCAAGGTGGTGACAGAGTGGCTAGTATCGTGCCAGTGGGTGATATTGTGCATAGTATCCACCTTATTCCAAAGTTTGGAGACTCGGCTCCACGAGAATGGATTTGGAGTGAGACCGTTCTTGAGGACTGTAACACATTTTGGGTCAACTCATACATTGATAGACATACTTTCTTGATATTCAGTTAATACTCACTAATTCTCTTCTGTTGCGAAACAATTTCATATTGCCGCTACATTGTTATCAACTTTGTTTCTAAATACAAGTGATTAAGAAAAATTATATGAACTTTCAAGATTACACAAATTTAGCCCAGGAGAGTTTTCCTGATGTATGTGTTTGCTAGTATATATGAGTCCAATCCACCGCTTTTTTGACCCTCTGAAGGTCCCTACACCACCAGATGTAGCATGCACACAAAAAAATAACAAATAGCTTCGCACTTTTTCAGTTTTAACTATAGACTTGAAAATATGATCCCTAGCAATCTTTCAATAATATATACAATATCTCAGAAGTACATAACTGCTCATCCAGAATTGATGAGTAGGGAAGTGAAATATGATGTAAATTAGGAGAAATACTCTGCAAATGTCATAATTGATGCATATACTGTAGAGATGTGCACCTAAGTTCGTCACACCATCACAGGCCGAGCGAATCGAACCTATTTCATGTGACAGTCACACCCATATTGAGGTCATTGAACTTAAATTGTGACATGTGGTAAAAACATGAAAAAAAGTCCTACATCAGCAAAACCCAAATAAGGTATGTGGCACTGCACATTGCCATACAGTGACTCAGGGTTCACAGGGAAGTCCCCCCATGCACAGCCAAGCCACAGTGTGTGCTTCGGATGTGTCATGTTGTGCAGTTGGGCACAGTTACCGCCGGCTATCAAGTATGGCACAGTGCCGCACAATCCCACACAATGCTGTAGTGCTGTATGACACTGTATAGCATGAACCTGCTATGCAGTATCATACAGTGGTGTATGGTGTTCCATAGCAGTACTTGTAATATACTACCAGTACTATAGCAATTATTTTTGCACACCAGGACATTAATACAAAAGCCAAGGATAATTCTACTCAAAACGATGCTGCAAAACAGTAGTATATAAAACTAATCAAGATCAACATCCCACTCAGAACAGCCATCATCACCTTCATTAGTACCAAGGCCAGCACCATGTGTGTTCCTAACTCGATAGTTAATATACTGCTACTCGTGTGAAAAATCATGTGGAAAGACTTACATGCCTTCCAATGCCCAAGCTTTGAGCATTTGACATAGTTTTGGTCCATGGTACTTGTCTTTGTTTGTGCAGTCAAACAATGTCGAAATACAATTGTAGGAAGTCTCTGAATCCTCAATGGGTGTCTGCTTGGCGCCATTTACCTGACCATATTTACTGTAGATATAGATTACATTATGAATCTCAGTAGGATAACGTCAGAATCAGTAAACGCGCTTTGAGCATGCTACAGGTGCACTCACGATAGTTCCAACGAGGAAGAGCGCTGGGGGCGGAATAGTCTTCTGAAACTCAGGGAATTGCTTTAGTGATTTGGAACCATTGTCATAAAATGACTTATGGCAAACAATGTGGATCATGTTGTTTGCAAAGTTAGATGCATGACCCTACTAAATATTTAGAATTGATTATTAAAGACGACAAAGAATGTACCTCAGAATCAGGATAGCCATGCAAATACATTGCTTTCTTCAGCAAACCGGTTGCCTTGAGTTTGACACTGTCAATTGTGTTCCTGTTGACGCTGAGTACTAGTTCATATGCCATTGGAATGACAGTAAGTACAATCTGCTTGATCTTGCTGCGGAATGTCATGTTCATCCACCTCTTCGTTACCTTCTTCAGTTTCATCACCAAACATATTTTGGCTAGTGGAGGAACTGAAAGCAGGAGGAGTACGAGAAATGATGTGATGGGGTGTTATGGTCGTTGATGGCTCCTGCTGAACAGCAGAGTTGAGAATGGGAATAGATGAGCTTGAGCGTTGGTCGCTGACAGACTGAGGAATATCATGAGAAACAATATGAGTACCAACAGGACGCTGGACAGCTGTAATTCTGATTCCATCAGCCTGAGGGTCACGAAGAGAGGCGCCATGAGAGATGCTGCAAGAAGCACCCCAAGAAGCACCCTGAGAAGCACCCCTAGAAGCACCACGAGAAGCACCTTGAGAGGTACCGCAATCATGGACATAGGGCTGGTTAGGAGATATTGTTAAGTCAGGCTGAGGATCCATTTGATGGGACTAGAGTGGTTTGGAACCAACATATGCTGAGGGAGTTGGATGATCCTGCAATCCAAACCTTCCTTGGTCCATGATGTGTAGAGCAGGTGTGGGACCTGCAGCAGTGAGGCCTGACTTGGATGCCTCCTGCTGAATACCAAACATTAGTACTGAGATAGTCAAGAGAGAACATTGACCAAGCAGGTACTTACTATTACACTCAAGTTCCTCTCAAGCTGCTGAGGCGCCACTTTCCCTCTCCCCTTCTTCTTTGTCACTGGTGGAGCCATCACATTTTCAGGCTCATCAAGAGGGACAACAACATTCCGAACCTTCAATTTGCCAGGTGCTCTGGCTGGAGTCTGGATAGCATTTCCAATCTTCTCTAGCTGGGAATTCCTTCCTCCAGCACCAGCACCAGGTCGGTTTGTATGGTGACAGGGAGGTTGGACCATCACTAGTTCATCGTTGGTGTCTGATTCAACAACTTGAACCAATGTGGCTCCAACTTGTTGCCTTTTCTGTTGGCCCATGGGTAGCACACGACTAGGCAGATGACAGAGAAAATCAAACCTCCAAGTTCATCTTGCTGACTCTCACACCCTGGCATAGTCACAACTTCCAGATGGTGCAACATTGTTGGGTGTCATACTTTCCTCTGATAAAACCAACATTACCAACATGACTGGTGGATGTGTCGCTCACCCACTCCTGATCAGCCTTGCCAATATCAAGATGGTGACTCGAAACAAGGCATCCTCACATGCTTTCCTCCTGACAGCACTGCTTCCAATTGCTGAATTTCTGCATCCAGTGAAGCGGATGCAGAGTGTTCTTGAAGCCCACTTAGTCCACCAATGTCTAGATATTGTGCTAGAGCCGCTCAAGCAAGCTGCACGCATCAGGCAGATGATGTCAGACCCACTTGGGAACCTCAGATATTGTTTTACCCCCTTAGCTTCATACATTGTCGATACACCCAAGGCATGCATGCTTGGATGTGTTTGAGGAAAGACCTTGCCAGTAACTATGGATATGTACGAAAATTTCGGAGATGCCTTCCAACACCCCCCTCAAACAGCTAAAATGACTCTTGACCAGCTTTCTGGCATTGATTGTGATCCCCTCAACATTGAAGGCTACTTTAATGCATGTGCTGCCTTCCACCTGAGTGGTGTAGCCCAGCCATTCTGGCATGATTGGCCACTTACGGATCCGCATTTGTTTTTCACTCCTGAATCCCTGCATCACTGGCACCATGAATTCTATGACCACGATGTTAAGTGGTGTCTTGCAGTTGTTGGGGAGCAGGAACTAGACTTTCGCTTCTCTGTTTTACAACCACTCACAATGTTCCGACACTTCAAGGATGGCATTTCAAAGCTTAAACAAGTTACTGGAAGAGCCCAGCGTGACATGCAACATTATATTGTTGCTCTCATTGTAGATGCAGCCCCCCATGGCATTGACATAGCTGTTTGCGCACTGATGGACTTTGCTACTTATCACAAGCGACAACAATCAATGAAGCACATTGTCAAAAGATTATTGGTGCCCTCAAGGAATTTCATGAACACAAGCAACATATCATTACTTTCGGCACGTGTCGAGGTGCCCAGAGCAAACAGGTCCTTGACAACTGGCATATACCCAAACTGGAGTTGATGCAGAGTGTCATGCCCAGTATATGTCAAGTCAGCTCTCCCTTGCAGTGGTCTGCCGACACCACAGAGCATGCTCACATCACCCTAATCAAGGATCATGCAGATTCCTCCAACAACATCAATTATGATGCTCAAATCTGCTGGTTTCTTGATCGCCAAGAAAAGTGTTGAAACTTTCAGATCACAACATCAACAATCACTCGGTCACAATCACAGTCACAAGCTTCCACTTCTTGAACAATGGATGTTGATTTGGAACATCATGACTTGGATGAAGGTCTACACATTGATGAAGCACATTTGCAGACTGTTTGTGATGATCTCTGGGGCCCAAAGCATGCAGTGACTGATTTCTTCAGGAAGGCAGAGCAGGTCTCTTTGAATATCAGGGTAGCCAAGTCTCTCTGCACATTCACGGTTGGTGCAACAGCAATCCACTTAAATTTAGATCCTTCCATACAATGCATACCAGTCAATGTCATTGCTGAAAAATTCTCTCTACCTGACTTGCAGGGAGCACTCGCTGACTATATTCAATGAGAGGGTACAGCTCAGAAATTCTACTTGCTGGGGGGACAACACTGAGCACTGCCCGATGCACCTCTTCCATTTGATGACCTCATGGTCTGGTTCAAAGTACATGTACAGCAGGCATTGTACCACAGCACGTTGATCATTCCTCCTGCTCTCACTATCAATGCGTCTCCTCCGAATGCAACTTGGAAGTATGGCCACTATGATGCTGCTATTTTCACTGTTGATGACACCAGATGTGAAGAATGGCCCACTAGTGGGCTTAAAGGTACGTTTTCAAATGTCCATTTGTATATTATGTTCAAGTTTGATGTCTGAGCAACTTTCAGGCCATGCTGTTGTGGAGGTGCACCTTATCATGCAACCACTTCCTCTACAAGGAAAAACTAGTAGTGCTTCTTGGGCTGCGCGTTTCCTTACTTATGTTCAATGGCTGGATGTCATGCCTCAGCAACATGGCAACTTACTGGAACACACAATGCAAATGCATGTTTTAAAATGTGCAATGTGATCAGCAGGGACTCCCTTCAGTAACATCCTCCCACTAGATCAACTTCATTCTTTGGCTCATATTATCCCCCGCTTTGGCCGTGTTTCTAATTCCCATCTAACAGCAGAAAATAGTGCTCACTTAGCTCAGATGTTCTTCTTGAACAAATACATCAACAAAGACTTCTACTATGCTGTCTCAAACTCGTAGTTTTTTGCATCATGATTCAATTGTGTTGAAGTACTAGTACTAGGTTGAAGATGATAATAGATATTAATGGTTAAAGAACTCTATACACTCTCTGTATGACATTATGCATCACTATGCATCACTGTACATCATGAAATGTACACTATCTTACATGAGGACCCACTGTGTAGTGCTGTGCAGCGCTACCTCAAACACATGGCTTTCAGCTGACTAAAACCCAATGTCAGTGGGGCTCAGCCCACATGATTGACAGGCCACTGGTTGTCATCATCATACCTCTCTCAATGCCTGTCCCCAGCACACTCAAGGCTCTTCCAGTTATCTATTCTAAACTCTCAGAGAGTTCAAAGTCTTGGCTCCCAAAATCACCTTCAAACGACTTGATTCCCCCTCCTCAATGTGTACAACAAGAACAAGTTGGAAAAATCCCATGTTCCTTGCACAATCATGTTCCAACAGACACAGAACTTCAAGACAGCAATAAAGACAAGACTTGACATTGTCATGAATGTTACCAACTGCATCTAAATTTCGATTATCGAACCCTAAGACACCTTATCCGATAAGATTAGATTAGATAGATCCCTGATAAGATAAGATGGATAACCGATTAACGATCACTATCTTTACATCACATCTATACTAATATCGACGTCATCCATCCTTATCCGTAACCCTAGACATACGAACTCATCACATCCTTAGAAGTCCTACGATTAGGCAACGGGTTACATCATAAGCATCTACATGCCTCTATGATCGAACCATAACCGAAGAGTACTTTACGAGCTATCTCTCAAAGGGTCATCACCTCTTCACATCGCAGACCTTCACATCTTCACATATGACATGTTAAGAGTTACCTCTGTCATTAACCGAACCCCTTACATAAGAACCTGTTGCACAGTCACAGCAGAACCCTGAAACCCTATCACAGAAGTACCGCTCATAGAGAAGCATACCCATTACCGAAGACCCTGGAGAACCCTTAGATCCGATCATACATGATACATCTCCAGATCCAGATCCTATCTAGATCCTTAGATCTAGATCCTCAGATTCCATCTCAAATCGAGATCCTTAATTACCGCTCGAGACTTCTTGTCACAGAACTCTCTCACACCCTTCTTAATCTCCGTCTACCCTGAATAGAAGCAGTCCCTGAGAACCCTGCTTAATTACCGATACCCCTAGCCCTATGAACCCTTTACCCTTTCCTTCTTGTAGTTGATTGGTTGATAAGACGCCCTATACCCTAGGTGCAATGTTATGACCGTATATAGTTATATCACATACCTTTCATACTCAGACAGCTCCGCCCCAATAGTAGTATATAGTCTAGGTAGTAGTCAGTAGTACTCCTTAGACTTAACCTCCTCGTTTCTACGTCATCGTAGGGCCTAGACGTTCCCTCTCAATATTACCCTTGCCTTATCCTCTTCAGACTGAGTCCTGTGGTGTGATCCATACTCCAGACACCTACTAGTTAGGTTAAGGGACGCTGGTCATAACATTAGGTTAAGTCTTCTTTACCACCCGACTCGATTGTGTTCGCCCTCTTGTACTCCAACCTTCGGGCGACTATTAGACGACGCTCCATATCATCCTTCGCATGATTCTATTTGTCTTTCGACACTCGTATACTCCATCCTCGCAAGAGACGACGATCCGACTCTCGAATGGCACTTGTGTCGATACCTTCCATCCAGAACATCGGCTGTTCTGCTGAGCTTAGTCTTGCGGATCACGTTTTAAACCATCTTTCCCAGACCGCAGCCCCGCACTTCTTTTGTGCACATTCCCTCCCCTAGTTAGTAGAAGTAGACCAGGCCCTGCCTTACTGCAGCCGCCAGTCTATAAGGAACAGTGACATATAGGTCCTGTATCCGTCGCCTTGAGTGCTGGCCCAATACCTGCCTGCTCAACGCTATATCCTAGAACCCCCTTCGTAGAATTAGAGAACGGCACTCGCGAGTGTAGTAGCAATATTGCGTGGGTTCTCACGCATATTGTTTACCGCATTCTAGTATAAATTACCGTAGCCTTTTACCTTAGAACCTAGTTGGCCAAGAAGCCGGCAACTACGTTACTATACGGGCTTAGGTCGCCTCTCTATCATCATTTTCCCTTTTCGGTCATATCTTACGAGATCCCTGACAAATCAAAATATACTCTGTTGAATAGGATTCCGGAACGCAGCCGGCAACATGAGATATTCCGCCCCTACCGTTGATGACTATGAAGAGCTAGCTTCTCAGATCCGAGAAGGCTTTTGCTTTAATACGCATCATGCAAAGGGTCCGCAAATCACACATTGGATAGGTGTAGAATTTGAAGATGGAGAAATCTCCTATCAGAGCCTTTGCAAGAATTGCGCTAGGGCAAACAAAAAGACTGTAGACACGTTCCGAATTAGGTGTAGAGGCGCAATGGCTGAATTGCCATCCCTCGCTATCCGAACCGCATATGTTGACACACTCCCATCGTCACCTAGATCCACACCATCGTCATCGCCCACATCATCTTCTTCATCATCGCCGTTACTGTCATCGAGAGAAATGACAACCCAATGGCCCAAGATTGCCAACGTACAAAATCCCGAGCCCAAGGTTGCTCCGAAACCCGTAGTAGTCGCGCAGTCCGTAGGACAGAAGATACGCGACGAGCCGAAAGGCAAAGGGAAAGAAACCCTTACAGAAAATATCAGGATGTCGTCGGGTTCCTCTAAACCTAAGGAGTCGACTGGTACTCAGAAACCAGAGAAAGTAACACCAATTGAAATCAGGAAAGAAACCTTCGCAGAAGAAATCCTGAGAATAAAAAGAGGTTACGGAATCAAAGACGAAACCACGAAAGCGACAAAAGTAGAAGCCGTTGAAGTGGAAATCGTTGAGATAAAAGCAGTAGTCCCTGCTGAAACAAAAGACAAGAAATCGGAGACAACCGATGAAACAAACAAAGGACCAGTCGATTCTGGTTTATCAAAATCACAGATCAAGAGACAGAAACAAAAAGAAGCTAGATTAGCAAGGGCTTCTTCCGTTAAAGTCTCAGAGCAGAAACCTACTGCCGAAACAAATAAGGTAAAGGAGCAGATCCTCCCTGCTTTACCAAATGAGAAGACGGAGCATGAAACCGTAGAGAAGGTTGCAAAACCTATCGAAGAGTCGTTGTCCGACCTAGATAAAATAATAGCAGAAAACATGCTAAAACGCGCTATGGAAACATTAGAAGCGCTGAGAGTTGCTGAACGCCGAAAGGCCGAGGAAGCAGCAGAGATACTCCGACAGATCAAGGAGGTCTCAGAAGTTGTTATGCCACCAACGATAGAAAAGGCAATGGATGTAGTCCGTAGGACAGAAGAAACATCCAAGGTTGAAATACCTATTGAAACAGAAAGTGCAGTCCGTAGGACAGAAGAGGCACTAGAGATACCGGTTGAAAGTCCGAGGACCCCAAATATTCTATACCGTTCCCCACGACGAAAGTCTGAGCCATACCCAGAAGGCGAAGACGAAGTCCCAGAGAGCTACAAAAGAACCGAAGACAGAGACCGTCGAGAAGACCAGGAATGGAATCACCTGGCAGTAATAATCCATCCCACGATGAGCAAGAATGCTCGTGGCGCAATAGAGGAAGACTGTCGAGAGTTCCTAGTCAACAATGTAGACTATTACATCCTATACGACGATAAAGATGAATCATACCGCCTTAAGCAAAAAAGGAAGTTCGAGGTAGATTCATGGTTCACAACGGCTTATGGCCGCCAAATCGCTCAAATGGACGAGTGGAACGATGCCCCATGTACTTGGGATGAAATAGAGGTAGAGATGCCTCTCCAAAGAACCATCTACGAGAAGAAAGAGGAGCTAGCCGAAGTAAAGGCTGGTAAATCAAGGGAAGAACCAATGGAGGAGATAACGACCGCTGGTGTTGAAGAATATGTGATCAAAGTCACTTCTTCACCATGTCCAATCCCCAGAGTGTTCCTACCAAGACATAGGTCCTCCGAGAAAACTCAGAAGTCGCCAAACGAGGCGCAAAAACCGGTTAAGCCACCGGTAGAGAAAAAGGCAATTCCCATTCCTAGGGCTAGTAAGCCGAGAACAGAAAAGAAGGAGAAGACCCCAGTCACAGTCTTCAAATTCAAATCCAGAACCCCATGTAGAAACGGCCCGAAGTGCCGATATGGTTCTCTTTGTGCATTCGCACATCCCGAAAGGAGTAGTCCCTCCTTTAAATCAAAAGACAAGATCGGTGTAAGCCCACCGAAACCAAAGGCAGTTCCGTCTGTAAAACCAAAGATAGTAGAAAAGAACGTAGACCGTAGGTCAGAAGAAATGTTCTCTATCAAAGGGTTCTCTATCAAGGGAGCAGCAGAATGAGAACGCAGAAGGAAAACTGCTAAAGAAACCAAAGTAAACTCAAAGAAAGAGATTGAGGAAATAACGCTAGAAGGTCTAGAAGCGTTATTGAAAAAGCTTATCGCAGAGAAGGCGAAGCAACCCTCAAAGGAATCTACGAGTAAGGGTAGTCCTCCCCCTAAACAAAGGAGTGAAACACCGAAACCGAGTATCGAGAGAAAGCTATATGCTATAGAATGTAAGACCCAAGCGAAGGGCATTCAAGCTACGCTTATCGAGAGAAAGGAAGACGGGAAAAGGCAGTCGATTGCCATGTTTACGAAACCAATGACCGACAACGAAGTCGCATACTCAGCAGAGGACAAAGATTTGCTCTCAATATATAGAGCCCTGCAAGAGTGGAAGCACATAGTTGAAAAGTCACCCCTACCAGTGGAAGTCATTCTAGACTCACGAAACCTGGAAAAAATAGACAAATTGCACACATTGACTAGACGTCAAGCTAGATGGTGTTTATTCCTAGCGCAATTTAATCTCATATGTCTATCCAGGAGGCTAGACCACAAAGGGGGGGTAAAATCCCATATCGTAACAGAAAATTCAAACAATTTCCTTATGAATACCACCTTCTTCAAGGATCACGCAGCGAAACGAGGCCATACTCTAGTCCATAAGATAGAAAGAACGCTCTTGCTAGTCATCGCAGAGTGTAAAGACAGAGACGCTGAAGTAGCTAAAGTGATCAAAGAAAAGAAACTCGAAAACGTCCGACTAAGAAAGGGACTAGAAGAGTGGAATTCAGAAGAAAATCTCATCCTCCACAGAGGACTGGTATATGTACCAAAAAGAACAGATTTACGCCACAGTCTATTGGATTTGTACAAAGGTTCCGCCCTTGGTCCTCTAAAGAGCTTGTTGGAAAAGGTATCGCAGAACTATTGGTGGCCAGGCATGGCGCATGAAATTAGCACTTATGAAAAGAAAGACAAGGTTGACGAACCGCTTAGCGCTGTATTCGCACCTAAACCAAGTCTTCAGAAGCGGGTTAGATTCCAAGAACCAAAAGACGCACAAAAGAAACTCTGGCAAGCCGCCGACGCCGCTCGCCATGACAACGTCTTTACTCCTCGAATAATCCCCAACGCCGCACCAATACCCTCCGCACCATCCGTTCCCAAGGTGATCTTAAGTAGAGAAAGAAAACCAGAACCGCAGTCACAATTCCCAAGTAGAATGTCCAAGGATCAGAAGCTATCGCCGAAAAGAGAGACATCATGGAATGAAAAGAGAACAGCGTTGAGAGAAGAAAAATTATATGAAGGTTTCCTTAAATGGAAAAAAGAAATCTCACGCTCAATCTAGACAACCATATCGATTCGCGAGGACGCTCATCCTTAAAATGGGGGTAATGTCATGAATGTTACCAACTGCATCTAAATTTCGATTATCGAACCCTAAGACACCTTATCCGATAAGATTAGATTAGATAGATCCCTGATAAGATAAGATGGATAACCGATTAACGATCACTATCTTTACATCACATCTATACTAATATCGACGTCATCCATCCTTATCCGTAACCCTAGACATACGAACTCATCACATCCTTAGAAGTCCTACGATTAGGCAACGGGTTACATCATAAGCATCTACATGCCTCTATGATCGAACCATAACCGAAGAGTACTTTACGAGCTATCTCTCAAAGGGTCATCACCTCTTCACATCGCAGACCTTCACATCTTCACATATGACATGTTAAGAGTTACCTCTGTCATTAACCGAACCCCTTACATAAGAACCTGTTGCACAGTCACAGCAGAACCCTGAAACCCTATCACAGAAGTACCGCTCATAGAGAAGCATACCCATTACCGAAGACCCTGGAGAACCCTTAGATCCGATCATACACTGATACATCTCCAGATCCAGATCCTATCTAGATCCTTAGATCTAGATCCTCAGATTCCATCTCAAATCGAGATCCTTAATTACCGCTCGAGACTTCTTGTCACAGAACTCTCTCACACCCTTCTTAATCTCCGTCTACCCTGAATAGAAGCAGTCCCTGAGAACCCTGCTTAATTACCGATACCCCTAGCCCTATGAACCCTTTACCCTTTCCTTCTTGTAGTTGATTGGTTGATAAGACGCCCTATACCCTAGGTGCAATGTTATGACCGTATATAGTTATATCACATACCTTTCATACTCAGACAGCTCCGCCCCAATAGTAGTATATAGTCTAGGTAGTAGTCAGTAGTACTCCTTAGACTTAACCTCCTCGTTTCTACGTCATCGTAGGGCCTAGACGTTCCCTCTCAATATTACCCTTGCCTTATCCTCTTCAGACTGAGTCCTGTGGTGTGATCCATACTCCAGACACCTACTAGTTAGGTTAAGGGACGCTGGTCATAACAGACATTCAATTTACAGACCTGGATAATGAATATTGTTTAAGCTTAGGTTAGTATTTCTCAGATCACTTATCACCTACCAATCTTCTTCCTGACCATTCATCATCACAAAGACCACTGTGCAGTCATCCTTGAAGCACTTCAACATCCTCAACCTAATACAATTGTAGGCTGGTCTACATTTGTTGTAGATAAATATTTACCATTATCTGAGGTCATTGCCAATATTACGCCTGCAGAGTACACAGCAGTGGTAGCGTCTATGTTGGAAGAGTGAGATTTCAAGGTTAGAGCAAAGTGAACCTCAGAATAGTAAATGTCAAGTCATACTCATACACTGACCATGTCCCATCTCTTACTACAGATTCGTCTACTTTGCAGATACTCAAGATCTTTATATCATTCCCCCACTTCCCGTCCATGAACAACCAGCTGCACACCTTGCAAAGGCCATCAACAAGTTCACAGAAGCCATCCCTTACGACAAACTCCTGATTGACATCACTATGCACCTCAATCACTGTATCCAGAACAAGGACTCCATGAACATTCCAGACCTACACCTTACCATCACAGCACAACCACCGGAGGATATGGAATCAGATGAGATGGCAATAGCAAAGGCAGTTTCTAAATGGGTTGGAGAATGTGGGTTTTCCTCAGATATGAACTGTACGGTGCGCAAGCTGAGCATCACATGTAACAGTCATCGAGACATCAACTACGCTTTCATCACATCCTTTGAAGAGCAAGCCAGATGGCAACAGCCAAAAGAAGGCAACATCATTGCCCAACAACTTTGCTCGGCTCCCACGTTGGATTATGAGGAGTTCATCCCAACCCATATCAAGAAGAGCTTGAAGTTTGGACTGGTGGAGATCAAGTCTCACATCTGGATCGATATCTCCAAGGTTTGCTACAGCGTGTACAAGTGTGGTGCAGACGGTCACTTTGATTTCAACAACAAGAATGCTGCTACATCCACAGAGGGGGTATGTATATATTCATCTTATTAGTAGTACTACTTTCTGACCTCAACTCACCCCCTGCAGACCCTTTACCCCCATGTTGCAGATGGATGATGTTGAACACATGCTAGATGATGCTGCCAAGAGTTTAAAAGGGTATATTGTATTATTGATGAAGGGTATGGGGCTTGAGGAGCCTGCAATTCAGAATGTGCATGATTCCCATCCCATGTTCAAGCCCATTTGAATGGCAGCTCTCAACTCTATCTCCTCCGCAATTTACCTTACAGCTCATTGCTGCTACTTGGATTGGTGCAACCACAAATACAACAAGTGTAAGACAACACACATCACCATTCAATCCTCAGGCTCCAGCACCCAACCGAAAAGTGCTTCATCCTCATCCGTTCCAACAACTTCCTCCTCATCCAATGTGACGGCCTCTTCCTCTGCTGGGTTATCAAGTGATGTACAGCCTGAGTGCTCTGCAAAGAAGTTGAAGATCCAGCCTGAGGACAACTGTGAAGAGTCTAAGGCGAAACCAAAGAAGAAGGCAAAGGCAAAGGCAAAGGCAAAGGCAAAGGCAAAGGCAAAGGCAAAGGCAAAGGCAAAGGCAAAGGCAAAGGCAAAGGCAAAGGCAAAGGCAAAGGCAAAGGCAAAGGAGAGTGGCAAGAGGAAGGATTGTTGGTAGGCTCTTGCCATGTTGATCATTGAGGGTGAGTGTCCATTGTTTGACTCAATTTCCTCTAACACTGACAATTTACACAATTGGTACTAAAGTTCCATCTTCGCCTGTTCTGTTGCACTGTTCTTTTAATTCACTGTCAAGTTCAACAATCTCATTCATGATTGGGCTAGTATTTATTGATCAAGTTGTTGTCATCCATGTTGCATTTGTTTTTGTACTTCTATGACTGCATGAAACATACCACTCTAGCAATACTCAGCTAGATACCACACGGGGAGTACTATGAATGTTTCTTATTGAATGTATCATATTCGTGTATGAAGTACAAAGTACTAATTTGTCACATCACATTTGCATAACTAGTCTCGGTGTGACTCAGTAAAATTGAACCCAACAGCACAACTCAAATGTTTCCCAGTGCCCAACCCGCAACAGACCCATCCCTTAGAGGGATTCCACTTGATTGAAGACACTCATGTTATGATGAACCCCAGACCCATCCAACGCAAGCTATTCATGGAACATGTGTGCCAGTACCAAAGCCAACTTTACTAGTAGGACCTTTTTCTGAGGTCTCTAGCCTGAGCACAGATGAACCAGTCATGAACAGCACATCATCCATTCAATTGCACCCATTGACCATTCAATACACCCCATCCTCATCCATCTCACATATGTCTGCTATACCGGTACCTACTACTATGCAAGGTGTTTCACATTCTACCTTGAAGCACATTGGATCTCCTAGGGCTATTGGTGCTCTGTGAAATTGATCCCCTGCATTATTGTGTCATTTGACCACACTGAGTGTTGTGCATTCTACTAGTAGGTTGAATGTGAACAGAGTTCCATCACCTACAGTGGCTCAAAAAAGTGTCCGAATGTTTATGCATTTTCAAGTAATTGAACAATAGCAAGGCAGAACCAAACAATGACCAAAGGGTATAGGGACATGTCTGAAAGCCCTATATCATGGCTCAAGTCTGAGATATATAGCGTGTGAACCCGACCATATATGGGCAAGCTATGGTAATTCTAAATATATGACTCATTCGGACACTTTTTTGACTTTTTATTGAAATCACAAAATCAGACCATTCATACATAATACTCTTAATTAAAGCCATGTCATAATGATAATATGGTCTGATTGCAATATTATTTGAATATATAAACCCACATAAGATCATGAAATTCAACATAATCATCATGAAGCCCATCTCCTCTGCTCACAAGGATAATATCCTTGTTCTCTGTACCTCTGGTTTATCTACTAGGCAAATTGCCTCAAAAACTGGTCTTGGAAAGTCTACTATTACTACAGTCATAAAGCAGCACATGCCAGAGAAGGAAAATCATCAAATGGGATGTCCTCCCAAGCTTACTCCACAGAACAAAAGAGCTATTGTTCACCAAATTCTATCTGGCAAGGCTTCAAATGCTACCCAAGCTACCAAGTTCATCAACTCCATCATCACCACTCCTGTCTCCACCCAAACTGTCAGAAACACCCTCAGGGCAGCCAATCTTAAGGCTGTAACTAAGAAAAAAAGACCTCCTCTCTGTAGCTCATAGGAAGAGAAGACTGGCCTTTGCTTTAAAGCACCAACATTGGAGTGTGGAAGACTGGAAGAAGGTTATTTGGTCAGATGAAATAAAAATCAATAGAATGGGGTCATATGGCCAGGAATATGTGTGGAAAAAGGCAGGAGAACCATTAGGAGAAAGAGAAGTCAAGGGTACACTGAAGTTTGGAGGAGGAAGTATGATGGTATGGGGTTGTATGGGGTGGAATGGTGTGGAGATTCTTTGTGAAGTGGAAGGATGGATGAATGCAGAGCAGTACATCTCCATTCTAGAGGAGTGTCTACTCAAAAGCATGCAGGAGTCAGGAATTGATGAAGAAGACATTATCTTTCAACAAGATAATGACCCCAAGTACACCTCAAAACTAGCTACAACATGGTTTAAAGACCATGATATAAATGTTCTATCATGGCCAGCACAGTCTCCAGACCTCAATCTCATTAAACATCTCTGTGAATTACTCAAAAGACTACTTGCTGCCTATCAAGATCCTCCACAGGGGCTATTTAAACTATGGGAGAGAGTTGCAGCAGAGTGGACAAAGGTTGCTGAAGAGGAGTATCAAAAATTGATAGAAAGTATGCTTAGAAGGATTGCAGCAGTTATTAAAGCCAAGGGGGGTAGCACCAAGTACTAGAATCATAGAATAGTCTTGGTTAAATACAAAGTCAAAAAAGTGTCCAAATGAGTCATATATTTAGAATTACCATAGCTTGCCCATATATGGTCGGTTTCCCACGCTATATATCTCAGATTTGAGCCATGATATAGGGCCTTCAGACATGTCCCTATACCCTTTGGTCATTGTTTGGTTCTGCCTTGCTATTGTTCAATTACTTGAAAATGCATAAACATCCAGACACTTTTTTGAGCCACTGTATATTCCCAATAACAATGGAGCCAAACTCCAACTGCAAAGACAGTGATAATGTAAGTCAATGGCATCCATACATGTTTAATATCCAAATGATAATGTTGCCCAGGAATCTGCTAACTCCACCGACACTCAGACTAGCGAGGAATTCAAGGCCCAGCTTGTTTTGAATGTGACCTGAGCACAGCAAGATGTTCGCCTGGTAGAGAAGACACTCGCAGATTGTGTTCTCAAGCAGAATGTAGCACTTGGTGAACTCTACAAGTTCAAGGCTACAGAAGCTGAGAGGAAATTGAAGGACACTGATATTGATATTGGTTATGTACACTATTCAGTCCACAAAAGTGGCATCACCTTGTTCAAGGACTTTACTACTAGTAAACCTCAAAAACACCGTCACAAATCTGCTGGTCAGGTTGATGATGATACATTCAGCCCAGAAGTAGATTTGGCTCAGCCACTACCACTGGCAGGTAATTGTACTCTGTTAAATTCGTTTGACTGCTTCTACTGAGACATTTTTCTATTAAGTAGATACAGGATCTCCGAGCGCAACTCCGAGTCAAACACTTGATTCTGAGGTGGTGTCTGGTTCCTTGGGCTTGCCAGAATGATTGTGATACTATTCTGGCGACATACCGGCAGTAATACTAGTACTATACTGTTCTGACTCAATGTCCCATCTACTGTAGTACATACTTGAATTGATCTTTGTAAATGCTGGCTTTACAAGTTGCTCTTTTGTAAAACTTAGAAGCCACGGTCAAGAGCTGGTACCAACTACTTGAGTTGCTCACTGTAGCACGCTGTATTGTGTTATATCGCACTGTGGAATTATACTATATGTACTGTTATGTTATCATTACACTACATGTGGTTGTAGGTTGCTATGATCAATCGCTACACATCGCTACAGATGCCTGCACTGCTGTAAGATGCTGTAAGCCGCTATGGTAGCTGTGCTAAATTTAGTGTTTTGCTGATGTACTACAAAGTACTATTAAAGCAAGTTTAGGCAAGTGGCAGACAAGTAGTGAGCTAGAATGAATATATTATCTCAGTCTCAGGAAATGGACTCAATGTAACTCTAGTAATGTACCTAGAACAAATATATTCTATGGTTATAGTTAGTTTTGATGCGATAATGAAAATGGGGGACTTTGACTCACATCTCAGTCTTGGGGAATGGGTTGAGATGCTCGTTCATATGATGCATAGCTTTAAGGTAGTTAACATAGCAGTAGGTAATATAAGATAGCATAGATAAAATAAATGGTTGCATATTGTGTACCTCAGCTGATGTCACTTCGTCTTCCATCATGCTTCGGGTAGCGCTCGCAATGTCTCACTCTGGCATCTCACCTTTGGACTTCGATCTGGACTCCAACAACTATATTACTCGGTGTCATAGACATGAGGTCTACTACTAGTACTACTGGCAGTACTCTATTTACTACTACTTTTCCGACTTTCCGACTTTTTTACCTGGAATTTACAAACTTTCACTCTTGCGTGTCTTGGTCCATTTTTCGGCACTTGTGTGTCATTCGCTTACTTGTTGGCTTTCCGGAACAACGAAGCAAGTGAACAAAGTAACTTAAAGTGGAATTAAGTTTTAAATTTTCGAAGCAAGTAATGACAAGTGCAAAAAAGGAATGTGTGAATTTACTGATGTGTCAAAGCTTGACATCTGTGTATCCACTTCTTCACGCCTGGCTGCTCTCGAGGAGGTCGAAACTAGCAGATCCGAGTCCTTCCCTGTAACTCGCATGGAATTTCATGACCTCATACTCCACAAGTGCCGTTTCTTGATCTTGAACTTTCTCAATTCGACAACACCGATTTTCCATATGTACCACCATCTAATGGGGTCGTGACTAACCCCAGCGGCTCAGTGCAGACCAAAAATGCATCTATGACGCCCAGTAAACACCGTCTATGACGGGAGGAGTCGTGGTGTCATCGAGGGCTTCTATGTTCAAGCATACAACAACGAGACTACAAAACTGCGTCGTAAGTACTTCAGTCATATTCTATGTATTCAAGTATTCGATATTTCCTCATTCCAAGGTCTCCATTGCTCGAGCGGCAGTGAAATTTATTCAGAAGTAAGCTCGTTGACCAACTTAGCAACAAACTACTAGTAACGCACGCGTTGTGCCATCAACCATACTGCACCAATGCACAGAAACACGACTCACTATAGTTCACTGTCACGACATCAGCCATTCTTTACACACATGAGGACGTCGATCTACCACACCGATAAGTTATATAGTTAAATCCAGGATGAAAACTACTCATACTCACGAAAACATCTGTGCAGGAGAACCCGGGACAGCAATCGACATGAGTATAGCACCATTTAGGACACTTTTCACTGTCAGGGTCATTGGCAGGGATTGATGCTGCAGATATTGATGTTGTTAAAGCAGCAGCAACGGTGAGGACAAAGGATAAACGCATTGTTCGTGATGGTGTGATATGGGGTCAAATAAATCTGAAGGGGACAGTAGGGGGGGCGGCCTGCTTTTATGTGAAGAACCTACTCACCTGAAATCCACTTTCGAACAGATGATATCCGCAATGCCAGCGGATTGCCTTGTGAAGCGGCGATTTGGTGTGAAAAAAAAATCACCCTGTGAATATGCGAAGCAAGGTCAAGCTCGAACCCGCTGTCGAGAATCACACCCACTTCGTGTAAAAATTTTGACGATCCTCTCCGTGGCATTCGCAGTCGAGGGCCAACCTTCAGACTGAAAACGTGACACGTAACTGCCCAGCCACATCTATAATACTTGGTCCTCAGACTAGTGAACAAGGCACGCCGCACAGCTCGGCTCTTCTTAGGCCCATCAGCGTATTTTCCGATCATTTTCATTCCAGCCACTTTCTACCTAGCATTCACACTGTACACATGTATAGTCCTCTCCAGAACCTATGATACTAGGTAGCTAGCAGAGTACAAATCCAATTGCTACTCCTCAGAACATACAGCAGTCCCAACAGCCTACGGTAGAGGTAGAGTGATCGAAGGGTCTCCACCCGTCCGGGCAGCTAAACGGACTATCGCGTCATGCCCTAAGCAGACCTTTCCGTGACATCCTTCATCGGTATTGCTAGGAGCTGCCTTCACCCCAGCGGCAGCGGCAAAGATGGCGAGGTAGGTGAACTGAAATCTTCCTGACATCTAGTATATGCGTTACTACTACTTGAGGTGATAACCATCAGTGCCAGGCAACTACCTACCTGTCAAAATTTTGATTTTGTGGTGCAGGCGAAGGTGCTACGGCACGTCCAGGAAGAGCTAAATGTGAAATGGATACAATGATTAATTTACCCAAGTCTTCAAGTCTCAGAATTACTCACTGTAGACGAGGCAATTATCTCCGAGGATTCTGGATCTTGACCACATTCGATTTGCATGCTACTGAGGTTCCCACATATGACGGACACCTAAATGAATAATTATTAGATACTAAGGGGCCAGGAGGCCTGTGAGAGGGCTGTGTCTCGGATTTGATACCAGGACCTAATCATGAACACTGGAACCAGGAACTCCAGGCCCGAAAGTGACAGCGAGACGAAACCCGTCCCCACCGCGCTTCCCGACTGCACGTCCAACGTATGACTAGATACTGAATTGTGTTGTATTTGATTAGAAACTGATAAGTTGATTTATGTTAGGTTGTTCCCAGTATAATCATCATTAGTACTTTCATCTTGAAGCTGCGCTGTATTGCTGTCCACTGGCGGATTTTCCAGGCCTATTCCGACGGAGATGTGCTGCCACCTATCATTTCCAGTCTGTTTTAACACTCCATACAACACCAAGGGGCTGATGCATCGACGTGCTCTGACTACACCGATGATAATGTGTCGTGTCTATTATAATAACTAGATACTCAGACTGGTGAATGATTAGGCACAGCTCCGCCCTTCTCAGCATCAGCGTATTTTCCAACGATTTTCATTGAGACCGCTATCTACTTAGCATCCACGGTGAGTCATGTATAGTCTTCTTCAGAACCTGTGATACTAGGTAACTAAATGACATATATGCATCTGTGCAAACCCGATGGCTACTCGACAGGTGTTGTGCAGCAGATCCAGCAGTTTAGGTAAGTGTTGAAGACGGCGTGTACGTAGGGGCCTTTCTCGCAGTTAGGCTTTGTAGAGTAGCACGGCTCTAAGCAGGACAATTCCCCTTCATCGGTAGTACTAAGAGCTGCCTGCACCCCAGCGGCAGCGACAAGAATAGCGAGGTAGGTGAATTGAATCTTCATGGTATCTAGTATATGCGTTAGTGATGAACGTCAGTGCAAGAAACCACCCACCGTCAAAACTTTGATTGTGTGGTGTATGCGAAGGTTCTATGGCACGTCCAGGAAGATGTGAAATAAATAGAATGATCAAGTTGCCCGAGTCTTTAAATCTCGAGACTACTCACTGTAAACGGGGCGATTGTCTCTTGAATTTGGGAACTTGCCATATTCAATTTATATGCATCCGAGGTTCCCACATGATGAACACCCAAATCAATAATTATCAGATCCTGAGTACTGAGCAGCGAGGAACGCACGCAGACTAGCGGTGAGTCTAGGCCGGGAGGTGAAAGGGCGGTGTATGGGATTCAATATCAGGACTTGAATGATTATGCATACCGGTGACTGCGGGTAGTGTAGTGGGCAGAACTTCGGATCAAGAGGGTGGGAGAACTTGGCGGAGCTCCAGGCTAAGTTGAAACCAAGGTGCATAGTTATTCAAGTTATCACCGACTTCCATTACAATTTTCCTTCCAACACACCCAATGATAGTCGATGTTACTGTCGATGGCATGAAATCGCTTACCTTGCCATTCTTGCCACTGGGGTAAAGGCAATGACAACAAATTTTACGCATTGCCACCCTGTCCGACCAACCTGACTGCGGGTTGCGAGTGTGCTGCTGCAATTGCCTCCCCCGAGTAATCTCGTGAGTTGATTAGCAAGTGTCAACGTTGGTGAGCTACCATTCGGTTTACTAGCCCATCACATGAATTATGTGGTGGCTTTGATCCTCAAACAGGTGAACAAGGCACGCTGCACCACTTGGCCCTTCTGAGGCACATCAACATATCTTCCAATCATTTTCATTGCAGCCGCTTTCTACTTAGCATTCACACTTTGCACATGTATAGTCCCCTTCAGCGCCTATGATACTAGGTAACTAGTAGAGTACAGATCTGATGGCTACTCCTCAGTAATTGCAGCAGTCCCAGCCTGAGCAGCCTGAGGTAGATTGATGCCTTGGTGACCATTTGTCCGGGCACTTAGGCTGAGTTTGGTAGCATAGCCCTAAGCAGCCCTTTCCGTAAGCTCCTTCGTCGGTATCACTAAGAGCTGCCTTCACCCCAACGGCAACGGCAAGAATGGTGAGGTAGGTGAACTGAATCTTCATGGTATCTAGTATATGCGTTAGTGATGAACGTCAGTGCAGGAAACCACCCACCGTCAAAACTTTGATTGTGTGGTGTACGCGAAGGTACTATGGCGCGTTCAGGAAGAGCTAAATGTGAAATGGATAGAATGTTCGAGTTGCCCAAGTCTTTAAATCTCGGGATTACTCACTGTAAACGAGGCGATTGTCTCTGAGGATTTTGGGACTTACCGCGTTCAATTTATACGCACCCGAGGTTCCCGCATGACGGACACCCAAATCAATAATTATCGGATCCTGAGTATTGAGGGGCGAGGAACGTACGTGGACTGGTTGCGAACCTAAGCCGGGAGGTAAAAGGGCGGTGTCCGGGTTCTAATATAAGGACTTAATGATTATGCATGCCGGTAACCGGCAGTAGTGTTGTGGGCAGAACTGCGGCAGAACTTCAGGTCGAGAGGGTGGGAGAACTTGGGAGAACTCCAGGCTTGGTGGAGTAGTTGAAACCAATATGCATAATAATTCAAGTTGTCAATTCCGACTTCCATTACAGTTTTCCTTCCAACATATTTAATGACAGTCGATGTCACTGTTCGTGCATCAATCTCGACGAATTACCTCGCCATTCTTGCCGCTGCCACTGGCATGAAGGCAAGGACGACAAAATCCACCCTGCTTGACTGCGGGTCGCGAATGCGATGCTGCAATCGCCTCCCCTCCCAATGATCTGCCACGTTCCCGAGTTAATTAGCAGGTGTGAACTACCGTTCGGTTTTACTATCCCATCGCGTGAATTAGCTGGCGGCTTTGCTGATCGTGCTGTCCGACGGTCAGTACTTGTCAGTAGCATTGATGATTACGTGATGATATGAGGAGTTCGCCTCATCGCTTGAGATTTTGGTCTCTCAATTACCCAGAACACAACCTCTCTGACGCCAGCATCGCCATCACTCTTGATCCGCGTGAAATACATGCTCTCTTGTGTAGGTCAGGGATGTGCTCGCTTCCGCTGGCGCGTACTTTTGGTGTCGGACTCGGCTATAGACATCGACTGTTCTTGTCTTTACCGTCAAACGGCGGACTATGTGACTAACCGGGCAACTGGAGAAGGTCGGAGACGTGGCTGAAGCAGGCAACATAGGTCTTGCCGACTGAATTAGAATTGGCTGCTTCACAGTCGTCGTGGGCATGGGTAGCGATGAGACATCCGTAAAAGACATGAGCGAAGAGCGAAGATTCTAGACACATTCTTGCCATGTTTATTTTGGGCCCGCCAGAACTGCATGGAGACTCCGTGGGTGGCTTATCCCTTAACGACCTATGCGAGAAGCCGGGAGGAGATGGAGAGGTATATGCAACAAAGTTCGTTAGACCTGAGGGCGTCGTCAACGAGCGAGTGGTTTGGGGTGTGAGTGATTGATGAGCACTTGCAGGTGGGGGTAGAGCCTTAGATGACGCAGGTGAGGCAGACGTAGAATCATGTCTGTTAGACTGTCGTGTGTATGGCTAACCATTGCCAATTGCCAGCGGTTTCTGTGGCGCTTGATGGGACTGGATTTGAGTGGCTTTGAGCGGGGCAAACCGTAAAGGGCGAATGCTCAAAGGATTAGATATTGTTCCAGTAGCATTAGCTATAGAGGCCCGGACAGTCTTGGATTGCTGGTTGACGTTAAAGGCTAATAACTCGTAGGGCGCCTTATTTGAGCAAGCCATCTGAGAGGCGAAAGGGGAGATAACTTGAGTATGCCTACGTTCGTGGGGGCTGAGGGAGGGATGGAGGTGTTGGAGGTAAGGGGGCTGCGATTGGTCTTGAACAGATAGTCTTACTGACACTGCAAAAGGTGGAGAGGAAGGCTTATTTGCAGCCTTAAGTGAAGGTGCAGGAGGGGACAGGGAAGCGGGTACAATGCAAGAAGTTAGGAACGAATCGCTGGCGTAGTCAACTATATAGTGCCAGCTCAAAGTTATGGTGGACGATAGGTTACGGTTCGATTTGCCGATTTGCCGCGACTTATTTGGAAATCCGAACTCGCCGAAGCCTTGTGAGTACAGTTAATCACAGGTCATTGAAACACCACAGGTCATTGAAACACATCCTCATTTACTCAACAACCACACAAAATATATGTCTCAAAATATTTGGAATACATGAAGATCATGTAGACCTTGTCTGTTGTCAAGTTTGAAGCAAACTTAATTTGAGAAAATGCTGGAGACAGAAAAAATGGGCGCTTACACAGCGCCAAATTCAGTAGTTTCAAAATTTCACCGTCCAGTCTCAACTCAGAACACTCATATTTCGTCAAAATATTGCATGTATCAAGTCTAATAGCATGGTGGCTACACGGAGAGCATACTCATGTTGAAATTTGAATGATATAGCATATCATGGGTACAGTTCAAGGAAAGTTTTTCAGGGTTCACATCAATGATGTGCGATAGATAGCTTACATAATGTCGGATAAGGAAATAATATGGTGTTTCATTCAGTGAGAAAACAAGGTCCCTCCACTAAATTTGCCATGGTGCTTTAACTACTGGGAATCTACTCATAAAAATTATATAGGTCTACTTGTGAGATGTCTGTATATATGGGAAAAATACAGTGGAGCCTTAGAGTTGTGATGCGGCAGTGTAGCACATCAAATATCATTTTTGTGTTTCAATGACCCATGATTAACTGTAAATCACTAACTGATAGTAAGTACTTGGAACAAATATCGATCGGACTTCCAAATAAGTCGCGGCAAATCGGCAAATCGAACCGTAACGTATCCCTCCACCACTTAAAAGTCGTGTATAGGGATGCGCAGATCACATGGAAATTCACACACAAGGATAGTGACTCACAGTTGCTGCAATATCTTCTGCTTGACCTTGGCTTGACCACCGCGTCTAGTATTCCAAGTGGTCTCAAATCGCTTATCCCGACCTCTGGAGAGGACCCATGCACACCAGAAAGGTTGTGGCAGAGTTGATCACTATGCTAAGACATCGCCCGACGAGTTCCGCAGGAGTACCTTAGATGCTGTCGATTCTCGAAGAAGACATGATCTACGCACCCCTCCAGGACCAGGACTCCATGTTGACGGTACTTATGGTCTTTCTGAAGTGTGGAGATTGATTGAACTTGGTATCAATTTGCCATGTGTGAGCAAATTCCAACACATCCGAAGTTCGAGTCTTGCAGTGACTTGAGCTTGATTATATAAATGATCCGGCACAGTATTCAGGTGATCACTTTATTTGTCCTCACTAACTTTTCATTAACCTGTTCAAAGACATCACGGGGAACTCGTTCTGGCGCCTCAACGGAACAACGGGCCGCTTGTCCAGCGTCAAAGACGTTGATGATCTTGGAACATCTATTACTTGGTGCCGCTGCCATGATACTTAGTCTGGAGCCACGGATTTTTGAAAGACGACCTTTGTTCTTCCAGTCCGATCCGCAGGTGGGAAGCTTCTGAGACGGCAAAAGTACGGGCAGGTGTTGTCTCACAGTTCAAGGCACGGTGCAGAAAGAAGCAGGTCCTTGATCACCATGTCGAAATCTCGGCAACCAAGCATGAGCCCGCCCTCAAAGGTGTGCGCGGAAGAATCAACCACCAAAAAATTTGAACAATCAAGGAATGTATGTACGTTACTCGAAGTCATGCTAACCAAAAAGTTTGGTAAACCCAGAATATCCATCTTCTGGATCAGAATACGACTCTGGGTTTTTGGAACCTACGTAAATGGATGTGGATCTACAGAAGGGGTTACTTTTGTGCGGCAGTCCGCATCTCAGGAAGGGTAAGGACTGGTGTTGAGGCGTACTCTCCTATCAAACTCAAATCTTATCTGGAACACAACTCGTCCCGAATCTTGCTGCGCACCCTTTCCTAACAATTACTCAGCATCAGGTGCCGTGGCACGATATCAGTTAGAAATTGAAGGCAGATAAGATGTCGCTTCTCCTCCCTGAAACTGTCATGGTTTATTTCCGGCGGTCCTCTCCTTCTGGTATCACGGTCTATAAACCTGCGATAAATGGGACCTCGACTTTGACCGTTGCCTTCGATCCCCAGATCTAGGAGTATAGTAACTATGAGTTTCTCCCGCGCTCTACCGGCGTAGTCTTCCTTTGAGCAGCGACGATCAGTTCTATCTTTGGTATGGTCTCTCCGCAATGATGCATTCGCCTCACGCGTGTGATCTAGAGTTGATGATAGTGGAAGATGCCAAGCAACTTCATGACCTCGTGCCATGGTATTTCACCCACATTGATGGTTGTCTTCTAATCTGGTTTTTGTAGCGCGCTAATCCGTGATAAAAAGCCAGCATGTATTTAAGTGCTGATGCGATCATGTTCCCCGCTCATACCAATCGAACTCACACAAGGTGAGTTGCCCTTTCACAATCCAAATGTACACTTGACATTGGACTGGTTAGATGGAGATTTTCATGCGCAACATCCCTCTGGCAGTTACCACAGATGACTTGACAATCGAGTTCGCCAAGATCATTCACAATCCCCCTTTCCCAACCAATCCTGTTCTCAACTTTGAAATCCATATCTCAGACGGGTCACGCCCGAACGGACAGCAAGGCACCCTCACTCTGCCAACGGAGGATGCCGGTATCGCTCTCTTGCGTGCTCATGGTGGCGCAGGGATTGTCGTCAAAGGTCGACCAATCCTCCTCAGCAGGAGCACGCGGGCGATCCACGAGGCCCGTATCAAGAAATTGAATGATGTTCCATGGTGCGACCCAATACAGTTGCGAGAGAAGCATGAACGGCTTCTCTATAGAAATAAGTCTTTTCGCCTCGCTCGCTACTCATTCGGCCGCTTCCTCCGGGACGGATCTTTTTCTTCGCATGTCTCCCCTGCTGGCGTAGCTAATGTCTTTTGTGACCTGGAGCGTCGGCAGGTACGCTTCACTTTCCACCCCCAGCTAAACACGAACGACGACGACGACGATTTCATCGATTGGCAGGAGATCATGGGGAACCCAGTTGTTACAGCAACTTATGCGCCTCTAAATATTGCGCTAGTGGGTAACCGGGATGAAGATACCACTATCGTGTTCGTTCGTGCCGACGCGCCCCCTGTGTACTCCTTGGAACGTGACTCCGATGGGATTTGGGACACCAGCCCTGACCGTCTGATGGGCTTGGGGTCTAATGAAGTCATGCCTCCTGGCTGCCATAATCTGATGTTGACCTTCGGGGGCCAGTCAGACGCAGATGCATTCATTTACGCATGTCGTAACCGGCTTCATCTGCGTTACTCCACGCAGCATCATATTCGAATTCGTGACCTCATCTCGGACAGCAAATCTGTTGACAAGCTTCACACGTTCCTCGCTCAGATCCCATACAAGCTTGGGTTCGAGGTAGAAAAGACTGTTGCCAACTCTGTTTTTAGCCTGAGGGAAATAGAGTCGCTGAAGAAGGTCATCCTCTCGTTGCAAGCTGGGCATGGCGACGACGCGCCAGACATTTTTCGGTCCTTTGCCTCGGAGGTCGAAGGACGCAGTGCAAGTCGCACAACACCTCGTAACCATAGGCAGCAGCAATCCAGCCAAGGCAATTTAACGTCTCTTCTTGGCCAAGTTACGCAGGAATTTATCAGAGAGCATCAGAAGCCCCGTCCTCTTCTAGCTCCGCCGCCACAGAGTGGGGTATACCTATCCTACCATCTCATTCTCACACCGACACGATACATCTTAGAGGGACCTATCCCAGACCAGTCCAATAGTGTTTTGCGCCGATATGGACATCCCGAGTGCTTCCTGCGTGTCAGTTTCCAGGATGAGAATCGATCAAAGCTGAAACGGGAGGTCGATTGTTCCATTACAGGCCTTTTGCGGAATCGATATCGCTCTATTCTCCTCAATGGCTATCGCGTCGCGGGACGCCAATTCCAGTTCTTGGGATATTCGATGAGCGGTCTGAAAGAACATTCGGTGTGGTTTGTGACACCGTTCCGGGATGAGAATGGGAAATTGCTGAATGCAAAATCAATCCGGGACAACCTGGTGAGCCACCATTGGCCTTGTCGATCTTGTCAACTGAATGCAACTATTAGGGTGATTTTTCCAAACTTCACAACCAACCAGCTCGCTTAGCTGCAAGGTGGTCTCAAGCCTTTTCTGGCACGCGTCCGTCAATCACACTTCTTCCCAAAGAAGTAGATTTTCGTTGCCCTGACAGACACTCACCTTCTGGTGGGCTTATGACAGACGGGTGCAGCTCCATATCGGTCGAGCTTGCCAAGGACATATGGGTCTCTATGCAGAGGGGCAAGAGGCGGTCCACGAACCTGCGAAATGTCCCATCAGCCTTCCAATTTCGACTCGCTGGTGCTAAAGGCATGGTCGTGCAAGATCCCACCATTCGGGGCAAGCTCGTCCGCCTTCGTCCGTCGCAAATAAAGTTCGATGCATGGGAGAATCTCACCTTTGATGTTCAATCGACGTCAGCGGAACCAATAGCGATGTTCCTCAATCGTCCGCTCATCGTCCTCATGGAGTTCTTGGGTGTGGACACCGATAGAATCATTGAATTGCAGGACGATGACATCCGCAGAGCCCAATCCGTCCGATCGTCGTCCGCTGATGCCTCAAAAGTTGTACAGCAGCATGGACTGGGGGCATCTTTCCGCCTACCGTCTCTCTTCTCAAATCTGTCATCCATTTTGCAGCTGGAAATTGGAGACATGGACGATGATCCGTCTCAGTGGACCAGCAAGCTCATAGAAAGCTCTCTGCACTGCGTCGAGACGCACATCCTGCGGGAATTGAAGTACCGTGCCCATATAGCTGTGCCAGGTTCGTATACCTTACTTGGCGTTTCCGATGAATGGGGCTGTCTGAGGGAGGGAGAAATATACGCAACGGTGTTCGATGAAAGGACGGGATTTGTTCAGCATGTCACGGGCAAGGTCGCCATCACTCGCAGCCCACAGATTCACCCGGGCGACCTGCGGGTTGTGAGTGCTGTACAACGGCCAGAGTTGAAGCACCTGAAGAACGTCGTCGTATTTTCTTGCGAGTAAGTTCTGTTTAATGGTTTGGAAAAAAGGCACACTAAGTTACATCGTCGACAGGGGACAACGAGCGCTTGCATCGTGTCTGGGTGGGGGCGATCTTGATGGTGATATATTCAATCTAATACTTGATGTAAGCTCAAAATTTTGATGCGTTCATTCACGCCTGAGCATTTCGCAGCCAAGGCTGCTACCAACGAAACTCTATGAACCTGGAGAATATACGGCAGCGCCCATCAAGAAGACACTGGAGCCGTGTGACATCTCCGATATCGCGGATTTCGTAATTGACTACGTGAGTCGCATCCAAACTTCCATGACTGCAAGATTAATTGTGGAATGTAGATCCAGGCAGACCTCATTGGTGCAATCGCCGTAAATCATCTCAGGTTTTCTGATCTGAAGGATCCATGTTGCATACAATGCATTCAGCTCGCGAATCTTGCCTCACAAGCGCTCGATTTTCCGAAGAGTGGCACTCCTGTCAGCTTCAGATCCATACCATGGGTTCCGAGGAATCAAGCCAGGCCTGATTTTCTTGCGAGAGAAGGTGCCAATCTCACCAGCGAGCAGTACTACAAAAGCACAAAACTGCTCGGTGAACTCTTCCGTCGGGTACCACTGAAGAATGGGATACCTCCACTATGGAATGGGGACTACTCCCCATCCGACGGAGCCACTGTGAAGGCCGCACTCTCTCGCGTGGACCTTCGTAATCTCGGCCTTTCAGGATTGACCGATCCGAGTGAAGAGTTGATCGAGGAAATGACATATCTACTCAACGCATATTGTGAACAGCTGCTGGTCATCGGGCAAGCGCACACAATTTCAAAAAACAAGGATATCCACGTCTCTGAAGCAGAACTAGTAAGCGGGACCATCATGGCAAATTGGTCGGACCATCAACGTCGGCGGAATGCAGTCTCTGCAATGAACTTGCAGGTGAGTATAGCATTCAATCTGCGTCACGACTTCCTTAACGATAGTTCCAGACGCATGAGCTCGTCCGTGCGGTCAGAGCAGAGTTCCAGGTGAAGGACCCGGGGTTATCAGAGACGGAAACGTATGAGGAAGAAGATTACGAGGATTGGACCTTCCGCGAAGAGTTAGATGACGCAGACCAGCAAGTGATGGCAGAAACATTCAAGCGCTCTTGGGCGGCGTGGTGCGCAGCGGAAGACACCCTTGAGGAAGATCCAAGCGCGTTTGGGGCTCAAAGTTTTGGTTTAATTGCTCTGGGAAGGATGCTCGACGTTGTGAAGGTGTCTCGTCTTATGTAAAGGATCGTATATACTTGGCCATTGACTGTCGTCTGGTGGAATCGTGTATCATAGGAACTCGTGTACATGTATTGGTTTTGAAAAACGAAGATTTAACTGCACGGAATTTACTTGTGATTGATGTGAGTACATTCTAAGGGTTCCTGGCGGGATGAAACTTGAAATGAAAGTGAATGGATGAATGTAAGTAAGACACCGCCAGTGCTGTAGCTGGGACACGTACTACTAACTTCTAAGTAGGTCTTCCCCAAGTCGTCCAGCAAAATCCACGTGCTTCATGAAAGAGCTGTGCACTGCTCAGTGCTGATCTCCACTTCAAGTTTCGATCTGAGTACAGCAAAGCTGCTGCTGCAAAGCCATAACGACATTCGTCGCTGCTCACTTTTTGCATCCCGTAGCCTTACTTGGTGCACCCTGGCCAGGCATAGTACTACGTATGGATCCCACTCAAAATCGTTAATCTTCCCTCCTCTCGCACGAGCTCTCTTCTAATCCTCCGAAATACTACGTATTCTCCAACCATCCCTCTACCCATCAAGCACGCAAATGACTTTCCAGACCTCCTTGTTTCCAACCCTTGCGCTTCGGCGCATACACCCAAACCATTATTTTCCGAGTCTTGTCCCAAGGGCCTATGAAGATGCGACGAAAAAGAACAGCGCATGACTCATGCGGCGCTTCCAGCTCGTCACGAACGGCGCAAAGACCTTGAAGCTGTGAAGGACGCACGCGGAGTGGCGTTTTTGGATATGAACGAGGATGTGAGTATTGATATTGTTCTCGATGGTACAGAGACCGACTTGATATGTGTCCAAGGGTACGCTGGATACTGTTGCAAAGCGAACTGGTGAATGGACTCAGCAAGGCACTGTCTCGTTCGTTCAGAACAACCTTTACTACGGTGCATTCTTTTGGAATGCCATGTGTGAGTAGCGGGATGGCGGATGTCACTGACATGCGTTCATATGTATCACTTCACTCAGTGCTGAATGGGGCATGTAATAATGAAAGGTGTAGTACGGAGTCGAAAGGTTCGACATACTCTATGAATGTTTCCCTGATCTCATTGGTGACTTCACTGGCGTAGCTGATCCTGACATTTGTTGATTGGAGACTGATAAATATTTATTTTAGGCTGTCACAGTTTTATAGTACTTTCATGAGGCTGCGCCATATCTCTGTTTACTTGCGGATCTTTCCATTCCTGTTTCAACGGAGATGTACTGCCAGTCTATCATTGCCAGAATACCATGCTCATTCCTGCACTTCCACCATGCGTCGCCCTCTTTCTCAATGATCCGCATACACGACTAGGGGGCTGATGCCTGGACGTATTTAAGCTATCGCCGGGCTAGGGCAGTGGTCACCATGTTTGCTAGGTCTTGTACAGCCCTTCACGCCTTTTTACATTCAACACGAGGTTTGTAGCACCCTCCACGCTGCTGTGCATACCAACCTGCCAGATAAAGTTGCATTCAGACTCTCACCTTTTGCAATAATTAGGTAACCCCCCCTGACTGTTCATGGCAGCTCAAACCGGATGCGTGGACGAGTACAAATATATCCACAGGAATGTCTGGCCTGGCGTTCTGGACGCTGTTGGACGATACCACGTTCGTGGACTACGCGATCAACAATTACCCGTCGCCGAATTATCTCATCGCAAACTTCAAGTACACGGTGACTTGGGAAAGACATTCAGGCTATTGGGACGACGGGGAGACGCGAAGGTGGTAGAGGCTCAGATGTAATGCAGGAAAACTCTAATGACGGTGCATCTGAGAGTTGAAAGGAGATCCCTTGGTGGACGTGAGTTTCTTCGTAGTTTTGCTTGAATAACCTGATGAACAGGACGTCGAGGAAGTCTTCTGCTTCGAGGGAGGCTCTTCAGCATGACATGTTGACAGCCGCTTATTAGCCTTTTACTATACCGATGGTGATGTCTCGTGTCTATTATAATACCAGATCCTCCTACTGGTGAACAAGGATAGCTCGACCCTTCTCAGGCATCAGCGTATTTTCCAAGGGTTTTCATTGGAACCGCTATCTGCTTAGCATCCACACATGTACAGTCCTCTTCAGAACCTATGATACTAGGTAACTAGATAAAACACATCATCCGTACAAATCCGATGGTTACTCCTCAGATAATGCAGCAGTTCCAGCAGTCTGTGTTAAGGTTTTGGACGGGTGTCCTGCCTTTTCTGCAATGAGGCTTTCTATGGTAGCATGTCTCTGAGCAGGATACTGCTGCTTCATCGGTAGTACTAAGAGCTGCCTGCACCCCAGTAGCAGCGACAAGAATGACGAGGTAGGTGAACTGAATCTTCATGGTATCTAGTATATGCGTTGGTGATGACCGTCAGTGCCAGGAAACTACCCACCGTCAAAACTTTGATTATGTGGTGTGCGCGAAGCCTAAGGTGCTGTGGCACGTCCAGGACGAGCTAAACGTGAAATGCAATGTTCAAGTTGCCCAAGTCTTGTTGAAGTCTCGGGATTACTCACTGTAAACGAGGCGGTTGTCTCTGAGAAATTTGAGATTTGACCACGTTCAATTTCTATACACCAGGCCGCCACGTATGACGTACACCCAAATGGAATAAGAACTACAGTCTGCCGACCTGGCACGTATCTAAAACGTCCTTTTGCTCCATAATCGCCAACGCGAATAATTCCTGGATCCTGTCGACAAGGGTAAAGCCTAAGGTCTGGGAATAAAAATCTATCACCCAAATCTGACCGGAACCGGTGTGCCGGCGTGCTTGCTGGGGTTGACAAAACGAGTCCGCGATGGCCTACTCGCGGACAGTATCACTTCTGGCGTTTTGATAGCCGTTGCCACAATACGATGTGCTCGTATTGCTCATATGACGTCTCCAGTGGCCCTTCTGATCGGAATGAAGTTCTGCATACTGCAATCTTCAGTGACCAGGCATCTTCCCACTGGTGTGCATAAAGTACCGAGCATGATTTCACTCATTGCTTGGTCTTTTGGCAACCGTCTATATTATAGTTATTGATTCATCACGAGTCAGTGACGCACGGGGAGCGTATCATCTCGGCCTCGTACCTCGGCCAGCTGACACACTCCCCGCGCTTGACTGAGTCTGCAATCAATATACAAATGGCTTTAGGCAGATTAACACCACTACTCAGGACAAAGCCTTCGCTGACTCGTCCTGGAAGAAAAACGGCAGAACACAGTAGTGAGAATAAGACACAGGCTCGAAGTGCATACGAGCCCACGAGACAAGATGGAAGGCAATCGCCACCATGAACACCGAAAGCCATCCGTGCCTACTAAGTACCATCCACGGTGACTAATGCCACAACTCTAAGCATAAAACTGTACAGGACCACAGTGTCAGAAACTTTCCCGCGCATCGCCGTACCGGTATACGTACAGACAGTTGTTACGATCTCGTCTGACAAAACCCACTCCCACTAATCGTGGGAATTGGGGATAGAAAAGCACTCATGACAAACTTCAACTCAGCGGTAGACGACGCGGATTATTGTTTGGCAGGTATTGCAAGAAGGCGTAACTAGTGCCCGTACCACTGATCAGGCTGGGAACAGCTGAACTCTACACCACCATCTCTACACCTCTCCGTGGGCGAACGAATTCAGAAAGGACGTTGCGGTGATCGCGCCAGGCATGACTCGCGCTTTGCTCGGTCAAGACCCACAGACATATCGAAGACATATCATAGAGTATCATGGTATGCATTGAAGAGCGAAGGAGCACCAATAAAAATTACCTCCTTTCGTGGCTTGCTTCCAAAGTTTGTAGATAGCATGAAGATTTCGTGACGGTCGGCAACGTTCTGGTGCTGAAGCGAAGCTCGAGCGACATCAACACAATTGGTCTGTGGTTTAGCAAGCGTTTCTAAATCGTGACAAAGTGCGAGGCGACATTCCGATTTTAAGGTTTGGATCAAAATCTAGGATTCTAAGTGCTGCAGAAAGTCAACCACTTATGGATTCGTCTATATTTGATCCTCTCTTCATGATCAATCACGCTACTGAATATTCTATCCTATCCACGCTCCGAACGCCAAATACAAAGGCTTCCAGTAACTTTCACCCGGACCCTTTCGGTCTCTCATCGTGCTTTCATTCACCCGCCGATACGCTCTGGAACATCCTGGTCCCGCTATCAAGTCAGTACTTTCTCTCCCTCCGAGTCGTCACGGGGGATTCATTACTTTCATCCTATGCATAAATATATAGCCATATGGCATCATCCTAGCAACGTGAATGATAGCTCTCTTCTCGGAGGTGAGTCACCGTCTCCATAACCAAACTCCACAACGAGTGCCATTAATCTTGGTTGTTTCTAGCCTCATCAATTGAATTGATGAGACTGGAAGACACGAAGTTTTTGAGCCGGCTTAAGCATGCCATCATGCGACACTTGCTCATTCGTCATTGTCGAATTCTGCGTGTTCACTTAAAACTAATTTGGTTTGGTTTCTAGTCTCGTCGATGGATCTGCAGACAGCCATTATCATTACATATGTATCAGCCGATTTTCATCATTTCGTTGAGAAAGACGTGAAGGCTGTCAGGGATGACCAGACGACGCAGAGGTTGTAGAGGCTCAGATGGAATGCTAGAGAACTTTAATGACGGTGCGTCTGGGAATGGAAAGGACGGAGAGATTGATTTGTAGACGGGATTTTTTGCTCGAATAATTTTCGAGGGAGGCTATTCAGCATGACATGTTGACGGACGTTTATTAGCCTTTGACTATACCGATGGTGACGTATCGTGTCTATTATCCTCAGACTGGTGAACAAGACATAGCTCCACCCTTATCAGCATCAGCGTATCTTTGAACGATGTTCATTGGAACCGTTATCTATGTAGTATTCACAGCAAGTCATGTATAGTAGTCCTCTTCAGAATCTATGACACTGGGTAATTAGATGAAATACATCATCTGTACAAATTCGATAGCTACTCATCAGCCACTGCAGCAGATCCAGCAGTTTGTGTTAGCGTGAAAGACAGGTGTGAGTTTCCCGCAGTGCTTGTTATCGCCGAAGCATGCTTCTAAGCAGTATTTAGCTCCTTCATCGGTATTACTAGGAGCTGCCTTCACCCCAGCGGCAGCGACAAGGATGGCGATGTAGGTGAACTGAATCTTCATGGTATCTAGTAGTATATGCGTCAGTGATGACCGCCAGTGCCAGGAACATATGCACCGTCAAAATTTTGATTGTGTGGTGTACGCGATGGTGCTATGGCACGTCCGGGAAGAGCTATATGTGAAATGGATGTTACAGTTGCCCAAGTCTTCAACTCTCAGGATACCCACTGTAAACGAGGCGATTGTCTCTGAGGGTTTTGGGGACTTGACCGAGTTCAATTTATATGCATCTGAAGTTCCCGCGTATGACGGTCACCCAAATGAATAATCGCTGGATACCGAGTACTAAGGGGTCAGCAGAGGCCGGTAGGTGAACGCGCAGTGTCTGGGATCTGATATTAGGACTTAATTATGAATAGGCATAGGCGGTACTTAGGCTCTAGTGTTTTGGCAGAACCAGTTCTGCTTGGCAAATCTACGGTAGAATTTCGCGTCAACAGGGAGGCAGAACTTGGCAGAACTCCAGGCTTGGCAGAGCAGCGAGCCATTATTATTCAAGTTCTCAATTCCAACTTCCATTATGATTAGGATGTAGAAGACTATACCTCGTTTGTTACTGTCGAGATATCAATTTCGACGAATTGGAATGCATTAGGTATTATCATGGTACCCCAAGCGGTCAAACTAACATGTTGGGATGAGGCATCATACTTATCGTCAGGACTGTCATACATTACAATATCATGCATATGGCAGAATAGGTGATGCTGTCGAGTGCTGCCGGTTGTGCCTAGTTTCTAGTATCCCACCCAAAACACACATATGATGGTCGATATATTGTGTTTTGAGGGTTGCTCTGGCAGAACCAGTCCCCTAGGAAGACCAGGAAGACAGCCGTGTGCAGTGTAAATTTGTGGAATGACCTGGGTCCGAGCAACCGTTCCGGAAGGAACCGAGCTGCGCCATAAATTCATTAATGTGAATATGTACAGCAGGAGCACGCACGCCGTAGAGTGCGACATTGATCCAAAACCAGCAAGCTGCGAGGCTCAAGACAAGCAGTACTTATTCCATAGTCCAGACGATCGAATAGAACGTCAGTACCGTATTCAGTGCCTCAGCCAGTCATGCAATCACGTGATCACATGAGGAGGGGAATATGTGTTTGAACTTTGCCTCACCGCTTGAGATTCTCAACTCTCAATTACCTCATTTTTTCGCCTGCTGAACGCATGTGCAGTGTTTCATTGCTTTTGTAGCTGTGTAACCAGAATCCTTGCCCAGGAAGTAACATAATATATCCTTAACTGGCCACACGCAGCAGTTGGCTAACGTGACTCCGGACTTATCATGGCCAGCTCATTCTTCAAGTCTTGGAGCGCACAGAGACACCAACCATTACAAGCGATTCCAGCGTACCTGGTGTTGAGCCTATTGCTGCTCTCGTCACCCGTTGCATCAATATGGCCGTTCCCGCCGAAAAGGTTCACGAAGAACTCCCTCATGGAGGCGGGCTCCGCGGGCATAAATGACGGGGATCGGATAGTGGCATTTGGGGACTTTAATGGGGACCAATTGTATGTGTTAAATGTGTCAGTCTCTGGATCACCGTTGAATCTTTTGCCTCAATAGTTTAGATGTCCTCTCGATAGACTCGGACCAGCAAACTTTGTCTGTATACCTCTGGGATCACGGTTAGATAGTCCCTCAGTATTCCATATTCTTTCTGATCACTCTGCTCTCGGCAGATACATTTTCATTTGAGAAGGTCTCATCAATGCGACATCCAACACCTGTTTACAATGTCATCCCAGGCGACTTCACGCACGACGGCAAGCTCGATGTGCTCGTCATGAGCGCAAATCCCGCCGCTTCAAATAGGCTAGATATGACACTCTACACGGGTAACCACGATGGCACATTTGGTGAGCTTTATCTCCCTAGCGCCGAACGGCTCACTATAATTGCAATTTGTAGCATCAGACCCTATTTCCATCCCGTCTTCGACGCTGTCAGAGCCTATACCAGTTGACATCAACGGAGATATGCAAATTGACCTGTTGGGCACTGCCTATTCGCAGGGGACTTATTCCGACCCCTTCACAGTTTGGCAGAACACGTGGAATGGGTCGCAGAGTCAACCTACGCTGTTCGAACTGTAAGTGTCCCAGGCTGTGTGTGACATCTTTCAACTGACTGTGAGGTAGCATTGACCCTCCATTTACTGGAAACCAGTGCACGCTTGCCAATCCTCACAGCAATGCCGTAATTGACCTCAATGGTGATTGCTTAGCAGGTGGGTAGAATGGTCGTTCATATCGTTTTTCATCTCATTCGTCGTGTTTGGAGATATCTTTCTGGTATGCCAGGATAGTTCCGGGAAGAAGTCATTCCAGATCTGGGTTAATAACAAGGACTCTGGATTTTCGCTAGCGCAGAGTGATGTGCTGCCTTCTGGGACCCAGGGGATATCTTTCGCTGACGTTGGTCTGTCCCCCCTTTTTCACCTCTCCGACGCATGCTAATAGATAGACAGACAGGGACGGTACCATTGACATGGTGTTTCCCTCATGCTCATCCGTCTCATCAATCGGCGTGGGCTCTGGCTGCTTCATCAACATCGTGTATAATACACAATTACCGCTCTGTGCTTCGCCGACATCCCCCACGACAGACAAGAAAGGAAACCGAATATGTCGGCGACCAGAAGAGCTGTGCACTGCTGACCCCCACTTCAAGTTCGATCTGAGTACAGCAAGCGATAACGACGTTCGTCGCTACTCAATTTTTGCATTCCGTAGCCTTACTTAGTGCACCCAGGCATACGTACGGATACCACTTTCCGACCTTCTTCCCTCCTCTTCCTCGAGCTCGCTTCTAGTCCTCGATACCACGTACTCTCCGTCTATCCCTCTGCCCATCAAACTTGGAGACGCAAACCTTGACGGCTTTCCAGACCTCCTTCTCATTGTCTCCAACCCTTCCGATTTGTCGCATACACCCAAACTATTACTTTCCGAGCCCTGTGCCAAGGGCCTGGGGGGATGCGACAAAAAAGGGGAGGGCAGGAGGGGTTTCCACCTCGTCACGAAGGGCGCGGAGACTTTGGAAGCTGTGAAGGATGCACGCGGAGCGGCGTTTTTGGATATGGACGAGGATGTGAGTATTAGTATTTTTCTCGATGGTGCATTGATTTGACCTGTATGCAAGGGTACGCTGGATATTGTTGTGCAGCGAACCGGTGACCAGAAGCAAGGTACTGTGTCGTTCGTCCAGAACAACTTTTACTACGATGCGTTCTTTTTGAATGCTATAGGTCAGTAACAGGATGATCAATGTCCGTCATACGCTCATATCTTGTCCAGTCCTGAATGGAGCATGTGACAATGGATGGTGTACGGAGTCAAATGGTTCGACGTACTCCGTGGGTGTTTCCCAGATTTCGTTGGGACATGCGCTGACATAGCTGATCTGGCAGCCCTTTGGCGTGAGCTACTCGGGTGCCTCATACAAATACACCGTTCTCGATACCTCTGGCCGTCGTTCCGCTGCCCAAGTCGGGCAACTCCCTCAAACTTCTTACCATTCCCTTCTGACGCCATATTCCTTCTTCGGACTCGGGCGCACCAACAACTACATCGAGAATCTCTTTGTCGGTTCAACCAAGCACACGCAGGAACATTTTATTAATATGGAAGGTGTCATCCCGAACTCGCGCGTCGTGATTCACCCTTCTCTTGGTGACGGGGCATGGCGAAGGGAGCTGTTCCTCCGGCCAGGGGCTTGGGTCCCGTGGGTGACGCTTACAGTCGTAGTCGCAACCGTCATTTTGGCAGGGATCGTCTTCGTTCTGCATCTGAATGAGAAGAGGGAGGATGAGCTGGAACGGAGGAGGACATCGCATCATATCAATTTTGATGCGCTATAATGTCAGTGGATATGTTACTGTATAATACATTGTATGCACGATCTATTTCATGATATATTCTTCCCGTAGCTTTGATAAATGTGGAGAAATAAGGCCTTTTCGCTTTCTCCTTCATAACTTCGCTAGTAACTCCCATTTGACATCCTTGCCTTCACCCTCAAGCCTCTTCACCTTGCCCTCGGCCTGAAGCTTCCCAAGATGCTGGTCCACGCTTCGCGCAGCAGGCTCCCATAAATTCTGCGGGTACGCAGAATATATCGTAGATACAATTCCCCATGTAGACCAAGGCTGTCCATCAGGACTAGGTTTCTCCATGATGCTAACAATCTGTGCCTCCCTCTCCATGCGATGCGTGATGTATGTACCAATGAGCTTAGGACCCTCAGCGACGACAGGACCATGCCCAGGGTACAACACAGTATAACCAGATTGAAAAGCGAGGAGCTTGCGCAAGGAGGATATATACATTCCTAAATCCTCAAACACCGCAGTACCCTGACCGAGTACGGTGTCAGCTGTGTAGAGTGCGTGGTCGTCTGGGATGTGGAGGCTGATGGAATCGGCGGTGTGGCCTGGGGCGTGGATGACTCGCATCGGCGACGGGGAGCCAGTTATTTGGAAGAGCTGACCGTCTGCGAGGTCATGCAGGAAAGAACCATTGGTGGTGGTGGTGGTGGTGGTGGTGGTGTATGTACCTGGGGGCGGGGGCGCGATAGTTGCATCGGCGCCAGACGGCGGCGCGTTTACAAGAGGAAACTTGTGGATACGGGGTGGCTTGAATGGGGAAGGGGTGCCACGCTCATCCCACATTCTTCGCAGGAGCGAAAGGACGGAGGAGAGCCCACCTGTGTGATCGCCATGCCAGTGAGAGATGATGATGTCGGATACATGGGGTTTATTTAGGTTCGTAAGCTTGCAGGCGTTGCTGAGGGCGGATTCGAGCTGGGGAATGTAGGCGTCTTTGCCTTCGCCTGTGTCGATGAGTGTATAGGGGTTGCACTCGCCGATAAGATAAGTGTTGGTCCCTGCAAGATGGTTAGATTTCTGCTAGACTTCAATCGCTTGAAAGGAAGTGATTACCTTGGAGCGTGAATTTACCTGGGTTCTGTGGGAAATGATCCTCGGATTGACATTGGAAGCATCATAACACTCACCTGGCCCAGCACTCTCACTACCCGGTCGCTCAGCTATTCCAGGCGGGCGGTGAGTTCGCAGGTCAGACGACCGATTCAAAGGCTGAAACTCACCCTAGTGATGGATTCCAATACCTCGAGTGTCTCCATGATGATCGTCCAGCTTTACAAGTTTGCCTGTTGATGACCACCGCTTAATCATGGACAATGGACACAGCTGAGCGCTGGTACCGGTTGCATGGTTACTAGTGGGTGATGAGAACTGCTTCCGGAAGATTCGAACGTAACTAATCATACTAACTCAATGACGTAGTAGCTTTCATGGATATTACTTAGAACGTCCAGGATGGAAATCCGTTTTGTTTTCTGGGGCAAGAAGTACGCGTTGATTGATGCCTCTGTGTTACATATCACAATCAATATTGTCTACATGGTACGTGGCGCAAGATAAATTGAAACATATGTGGCTCAAAGGTTATCGTATCCCTTGGTAGGTTCACACAAGTGCTACAACCAACAAGTTCAGCTTCCCGACACTAGAGCAACTCGCAGAAACTCACATTCAGTTCCTTAGCGTGTACATATTTTTCGGCTTGCGTAGTGCAGTTATATCCGTAGAAGCAATTGTCCGGGATCAGGTGTCCTCCTTGAAAGCATCGAGTGAACAGAATGATATTTATCAAGGGCAGAAGCTTACCCTTAACCTTCTGGTTCAAGTACCAAACATGGAGATGGTCGTGTATGAACGTCTCTAAACATTGTCGGCATAACCAGTCTTCTTTGTTCCAGGTGTCATATGCCGGTATTTTGCATTCGAACAGCCCTGCAATCAGCTGCTCAGTGGGTGCCCTCTCCACTACACTAGAGAAATGCCCTTCGTATGCATGGTTTCTGCTTAGGTTGCCTTTCAGTGAGTTGACGATTAGAAGGACACGCGTGCCACGCATACTCCAATGGTATCTCCAGTCTTCGAGAATTACGGGATGAGTAAGTTTTGTTCGCTGTAATTTTTGACTTACTATTTGGTCCCCATAAATCCAGCCCCTGGACACTATCAGATTGACATTGCGAGCCTGTGATCAAATGAGCGATCAGCAACTGAAAGATTAAAGGACACGAACATCGGTCATGCTCTCCAATGACCTCATCGAGTATAAGATGCTTGTGACCAACGGGAAGGAGTCGTGGTTCGTTCCTATCGAGCAGGACAGAGACTAGAGGCTCAGTAATGAAGTCTTCAAAAAAGGGTATGGCGATATTATAGAGATCATGGATCCAATCGTACACCCCCTCATACACCTTGAGCGCGGTGTCGGGGGCGTGGTATATCATACTTGATGTCAGAGTACTGATATGGCCTGATGATCATGAGTGGGTGGAACATCAATGGTGATGTTCGCGCTTACTGGGTTCAGGATCATCAAGAGGGGGCCGAGCATTGGTCCGAGCCAGTATTCCTCGCAAAAACTCCCCGACCCTTTGAATTTCTCTCAGTTCCGGGGTGGGAAAATTACCAAAGAAACCCTTTCGTAGTTTTCTGGCCTCTCGCACTGCCAAAATTATGTTTGAGTTAGCTTCGGGTGCTGACTTGTAGGCAGTGAGACCGTAGACGATTGAGAACAAGCACAATCTGTACATCGCTCTCTGGAATCGCGTCGACTCCGCCGAAGAGAGTTGACTTGTCGCATATCTTCGATCTTTCATTCTGAGCGACAAATCATTACCTGATCAGGGCGTAAAGATGATGGAGAAAAATACCTCCGACTGAACACGCATTCGAGCTCTTGAATAGAGCTTGAAATGGCCACGAGGCCTGTGATTTCTTCGCTGGAAAGCACTGGGTTTCTCTGAATATTATCCTCGCCCAAGAGTTCACCGACAGGCTTGGAATATTGTTGCGCATTACGGCACCGGACGAAACGCAATGCTTGTGGTAACGCTGGCCCAACTAAGTTATAAGCCACAGAGCGGATGATCGAGCGAGGATGCTGCTGAAAGATGTTGTAAACGGACTTTGAGGTCAGGATGGTTGATGCAAGGCACTGAAAGTCAGGAAGATACGTTAGAACGCACAATACAAGGTCATCGTCCGCGAAGGAGCTGCGCATTGGTTGGTTCATCTGATGAATTGTGGGGCCACGGATCCGGAACGCTGCAATTGTACACTTCTGGATCCGTTCGTGCAGCAGACTTTGAACGAGCTTAACCGGCGTTACAGTACCCAAGTGAAACGCCTTCTTATGTAAAGAAAACATTGTAGTTCGTTTCCCTTTAGTACTATTACATGTCATATAGCACCGAAACTATCTGCTTGCCTCGCAGGTAAGTAACAGTCAAAGGAATTAGTGCTTAACACTCTACCAATGCCTTGGTTAGAGCACTCCTTACTCATGCGAAGTTCAACGTTCAGGTGATGGAGTCCGCAGTCAAACTCGAGCTGCATACTGCTGACTAAGCACATAGACGCTGTCACAGACGTCCTGAACTCGAATTTGCAACTAACGAACTGCTACAGCGCAACTCATGACTCTCGATTTCTTGTCGAGCACCTTGCGCCGACGCCTCCCTCTAACTGTGTGTGCACTGGGCATTAAGCTATCTTTCAATCAATGATTTGGCTAGGGGTGGCATGGCCACGTGCCTGCACAGTGCAGCTTCCTGGAAGTAACCTGTACTTAACCTAGACGAGTGCCCTTCAAGCTTCAACTGCATTCTACCACCCTCCAGCAAGCTTTATACGGCACTGGAACCAACATTCATCCATTCGATCTCAAAGTAGCTCTTACACCTTGCAAATTCTATCACTCTACATTGTATGTGTCACAGTTTGATCATCTCGCTGCCCCACCCATCACCGTTCGACAGGCATGTATACTACGCCAAGACATCCTTTCACAACTTCAGTACCCGCTCTCAAAATAAGCTGAGCCTCTGACCCTTGGATCGGCGTCCTCGTAAGTCATGATGTAACCGTCACTCCTATCATTCCTAATCTTACTGGGACTTATTCTCACATTCTGTGTCGCGAATTATTGTTAAGGAGTTAATGTCAGTATATCCATATCTTGTCCCCTTCCTGTCTTTTAACCTGACCAACAGTTCTTGGATATCTCTGAAGGAACTTGGGAGAAGTTGTTCCAAGTCGCTGCCAAGGGCGCTGAATATGACTCTCGCGAACGCCGGCCCCATCCGAAATGTTTGGAAAGGACCCAAGTGGTCCACATCTACAGATTCTTAGACGACAAAGCGAAGAGTCAACTCATTTGGCTGCATGGCACGGTGGGCGTCGGAAAGTCTGCTGTTGCGTTCACTGTAGCTGAAAGGATAAGAGATCTGAAAATGACAGAGGAGACGACAGTAGAAAAGCGGCTCGCGGGAACATTCTTTTTCTCGCGCAAGCACACAAAACGCCGTACGACTGACTACTTTGCGACTCTTGCCTACCAAGTGGCTAGCAATTTTTCCGTCATTCGGAAGGACGTGAATAGAGCTATCCTGAACAATCCAGCCCTTCTGGACCCCGACAAGTCTCTTCGCGACCAGATGGAGGTGTTGTTTCTCCAATCTCCGCGGAAGCTTCAATCCAGACTGCGCGACTGTCGCCTTTGACGTTCGCCATTGATGCCCTTGATGAATGCACCCCCGAACCCGCCAACGACCCCACATCCGAACCACTCGGTGAATCGACCTCCGAAAGGGAGCTCGCTGATCTCATCTCCCTACTTGGCCAGGCTCTTCATGACCCTGATCTGCCCGTCACCTCACAAGTCGTTCGGAAGAGCATATCCGTAAAGCCATGCAGACAAAAGAGATGCGCCTGCTGGTGTGCGAGATACCAGTGAGGACCACTGGGGAAGGCGTTGCTGCCATCATCTCGTTAGACAGCGCAGATGTTGACAATGACATTTGTATCTTCTTGCAATATTCCTTCAGAGACCTGGAAAGTCACCATCATAATTTCCCACAGCCGTCGATGCATCAACTTGCACAGCTGGCGAGCCGAGCGGGCAAACGCTTTATCGTTGCGTCTACGATGGTAAAGTTCATTGATGATCGAAACTATGATCCCCGAGATCGCCTTCAGCTCACGCTCGAGCTAACGAGCAAAATGCTGACGGGAACGGAGGTCTACAAGTTATATGACCATATTCCCGTGCCACGCATCCGTGACGCATGTCCTCCTTCCCTTATACACATCGAGCACGTTGTGGGGGGCACAGTATATCGCATAGGATGTAGCCCGTTGACTATATGGCCTTATGATAATGAGTGGGTGGAACGTGAATGATGATACTTACGCTCACTGGTTGTGGTTCAATCAGAGGGCTCTGAACGTCAGTCCGTGCCAGTATTTTTCGTAAGAACAATTCGACCTTTTGTATTTCCCCCAGCTTCGGGGTGGAAAACCTACTGGAGAAGCCCAAAAATTTTGGGCTTCTCGGACTGCCAAATTCATATCTTCTGGTGAATTAGCTTTAGCTGCCGACCTGTAGGCTGTGCGATGGTAGACGGCTGAGAACAAGCACAATCTGTACGTTGCTCTCTGTAATCATGTGGACTCTGCCAACGACAGTCGAAGTGTCTCAGATCTTCGATCTTTCATTCTGACGGGACAAACCATTGAAACCGATCGGTTCAAAAGATGACAAAAAATACCCCCGACTGAACACGCCTTTGAGCTCTTGAACGGAAGTGTAAATGGCCACGAGGCCTATTATCTTCACTCTAGAGCACTGGTTTTTTATGAATATTATCCACGCCCAAGAGTTCACCGACAAGCTTGGAATATAGTTCCGCACTTCTGCGCCGGACGAAACGCAATGTTTGTGGTAACGCTAGCCCAACCACGTTATAAGCCACAGAGCAGATGATCGAGCGAAGATGTTGTTGAAAGATGTTGTAAATGGACTTTTTGAGGTCAAGATTATTGATGCAAGGCATAGAAAGTCGGGAACATATGTCACGACACACAATACAAGATCAGCCTGAGCGTCCGCGAACTTGGAGGAGCTGCGCATTGGTTCATCTGACAATTTATGGGGACCGCGCTGAGTACACCGCTCCGTTCATGAAACAAAGACGCAGACTCTGAGGGAGCTTGTTATATATAGTACCAAAGAGAGCCAAGTTGAAATGCTCCCTAATAGCATGAAGCAGGACATCTAGTCTCTCTTTAGTATTACACGTCATATGGCATCGAAACTGTCCGAGTCTGAGTTCAACATCAACTGAGGCCAACGTGAGGGGGGTGAGCTTTCCGCCAAACACAAACAACGCATACGCTGACTAAGCGCATAGGAAGCAAAAGAATTCCCACGGGTCTGCGCGAGTTGACCACTAACGACAATGGCGACACCAGTGCTTCCCCCTCAGATTGATTCAGACGGTCCTTCTGGACGTAGAAAGAGGTACTTACAGAATATTCCGTTGAAAAGTCTGGCCGCTTACAATAGTTTCAGGTCTCGTTCTCGCTCAGCTGGTGAGCCAGACGGCATTCCACCATCAACTCGCCGTCGTTCGCAGTCACCGTTCCGGGTTCATATAGACCTTCCTCGTGTAAGCGATGTGGACCCTATTCGACGAGCCGAACGAGAGAGGCAACTCGCTGCTAATATAGCAGCCATGAACCTCGAAAAAGCGTCAAATCCCAAAGTGCAGAATAGCGCACAGGATCAAGCAGAGAAACAGGCTGAATTCGCCAAGCTCATAGGCTCACGCTCGGGTGGCGTGTACATGCCCCCTGCACGTCTACGCGCCTTGCAAGCTGCCGCTGGTAATGATAAATCCAGTCCAGAATACCAGCGGTTGTCTTGGGATGCGCTTCGCAAATCTCTGACCGGTATCGTCAATCGAGTCAACATTGCGAATATCAAGCAAATCGTCCCTGAACTCTTCTCCGAAAATCTCATTCGTGGTCGAGGCCTTTTTTCCCGGAGCATCATGAAGGCGCAGTCATCAAGTTTGCCATTTACGCCTGTATTTGCTGCCGTGGTGGCTGTTATCAACACAAAACTCCCTCAAGTGGGGGAACTTGTTCTCACTCGTTTAATCAGTCAATTCAGACGATCATTCAAACGAAATGACAAGGTAAGCAATTCCAAAGCGTATTGTCATTTCTCGAGATCGCTTACCTTGCCTCCCAAGATTGTATGCCACTCAACAACGACCTTTATTGCTCATCTCGTCAATCAAGCCGTCGCTCACGAAATTATAGCTCTCCAAATCCTGGTTCTTCTTCTCGAGCGCCCCACCGATGACTCAATCGAAATTGCTGTCGGTTTCATGCGCGAAGTAGGAGCCTTCCTCGCCGAAAACTCACCAAAGGCCAATGCGACCGTCTTTGAGCGATTCCGTGCTGTGTTGAACGAGGGGTCAATTAGCCATAGGGTTCAATATATGATCGAAGTCCTGATGCAAACTCGGAAGGATAAGTACAAGGACAACCCAATCCTTCCCGAGGGCCTTGACTTGGTCGAAGAAGAAGAGCAGATTACGCACCAAATTCAGCTTGAGGAAGAGCTCCAGGTTCAGGAAGGATTAAGTGCGTGCTCGTGTTCTGACAAAAGAAACCTAGCCTGAATTTCTTTTTTATAGATATTTTCAAGTTTGATCCTAATTTCCCAGAGAATGAGGAAAAGTACAAGTCTATCAGGGCTGAGATTCTAGGTGAAGGTTCAGAGGGCGAAGAATCTGGTTCTGAAGAATCGTCAAGCGAGGATGAAGACGAAGGTTCGTTTCGTTTTGCGTCACGTCTTGAGTCTTGGGCTCATCTTCTGCAGTGGTCGCGGATAAGGAAGGCATTGAAGATCGTACGGAGACCAACCTCGTGAACCTGCGTAGGACGATCTACTTGACGATCATGAACGCCCTTAATTACGAGGAGGCTGTCCATAAGCTCCTCAAAGTCCAGATAAAAGAAGGCGATGAGGTGCGTGTTCATGTAGGGAACGCTTCGCAGATACTTGACTATTCATTTAGATTGAACTCATCAACATGGTCATCGAATGTTGCTCCCAAGAGCGTTCTTACTCCACTTTCTATGGTCTTGTTGGCGAGCGCTTCAGCAAACTCAACCGTGTCTGGACAGACGCACTCGAGCAGGCCTTCTCTAATTACTACACAACAATCCATCGGTATGAAACCAATCGCCTGCGCAACATCTCCCGTTTCTTCGGACATATGCTTGCGACGGATGCTGTCTCGTGGGTTGTGCTCGAGTGTGTCAAGATCAACGAGGAGGATACCACGAGTTCTAGCCGTATTTTCATCAAGATTATGATGCAAGAGATGATGGAGAGCATGGGATTGAAAACGCTTGCGGAGAGGTTCAAGGACGAGCAGGTCAAGCATGCGACCAAGGATATGTTCCCAATGGATAACCCGAAGAATACGCGGTTCTCCATTAACTACTTCACGAGTATCGGACTTGGTGCTCTCACTGAGGAAATGAGAGAGTATCTCAAGGTATATCTAATCTACACGCTCGAGATATTGAAGTGGCTCACATGTCGTTGCAATAGAACGCTCCACGGCTTATTATGGAACAACGACGTGCCATGCTGGAGCAAGAATCGAATTCATCCAGCAGTGATTCCGATTCATCTGAGGACTCGGATTCTGATTCTGAGTCCGACTCTGACTCTGACACGTCTCCGTCAGATTCTGAATCCTCGGTTGACTCTAGGCGCCGTCGACGAACCCCCCCTCCTCCTCGCAGAGGGCGGGATGACTCACGCTCAGTGCCGCGCCGTCCTAGTGTACGAGACGGCTCCCGTCGTTCTCCTGCACGTCGTGATGCGCGGGACGACTCGCGCACCCCGCCCCCGCGCCGTGGTGCCCGAGATGACTCACGCAGCTCACCCCCACCCCCGCGTCGTGGTGCCCGGGATGACTCTCGCTCGCCTCCTCCGCGTCGAGGTGGACGCTACCCCTCTCGTACGCCGTCCCCGTCGCCTCCGCCACGACAAAGAGATGGGCGAGGATATCCTCGTCGTGACTCTCCTCCCCACCGGAGAGATGACCGGTCTCCTCCTCGCAAGCGGGATATGGATGCGCGGGATCGCGGCGGGCGGGATGGTGGATACGAGTGGCGGCGCAAGGATGATCATCGTGAGAGAGAGCGGCATGAGCGATCGCCTGGAGGTGATAGGCGGCGGAGGGTGCCTGATGAGAGGGAAAGAGACTATGGTGGCAGGAGATAATTTGCTGGGAGGTGTGTTTTGGTGTCCCTACGTGTACTCATGCTGTCTGGTGTTTGTTTGCATGATGGTGAACGGCCCTGTATATGCAGATTTCATCTATTTCACCGCTGTGGAGTTGTCTCCCGCTATAGGTTGAAGAGATATGTGTACGTTCTGAGGGCAGCTGGAGCAATTAGTCGCTACTGTATATGTCATCCCTCTGTTCGAAAATAACATGAGCTGTGCATAATGTTGGCATGGATGCTTAAGATGACCGCACTATGGCACTATGCAGCGCAGTCGGAAACCAGCTGAAGAAGCATCATAAAGCACTCAATTCCATCTCAGGTAAGTCGATCTTTAAACCTTCATGCGCTTTCAGTAGTACTATGTCCAATTCTTAGTCTCCCTTAGCTAGCCAGACCATAACAGAAGGAACAGTTGTTCCTTCTCAATTCCTTCTTGATTATATATGGCTTCGTGTATACCGACCTTGACTGAAAACGGTTCAATGAAATCACCGTATTCAAGATAAACTATCTATATATGATGCACAAGACTTGTTCTAACACATAAAAAAGCATAACTGTGATTTCACTTAGTAGTTGGCATCTTGCTGAATGAGCTCAAGGGCTTTCGCAGAGCGAGCCTTGATAGAGCACTTGAAGGGCTTGGGATGGCTGGAGTGTGAAATGTTGTGGACCAACAGAGCAAACCCGATGAGATACGCAACATACCTAATCGTACCGGATGTGGGGTCAACCTCAGGGGTGATCTCAACACCGTTCTCGATGACCTTGGAAATATCAAAAACGGCGAGTGACATCGCGGTGGATATCCAGACGGACGCATCAGCGAGGTGGAGACGTGCAACAGACAGCGACGTCAGAACTGTCTTCTTCATCTGAGCTAGACTAACCTGGGCAGATACTGCAGAGCAGAAAGTCAGCATAGTCACTCAAACAAGAACTCTATGCTTACCGTCTACCAAAGCCGAAGCAGATCGTTCGAGGGTTAGTCTCAGGCCCCTTCCCATCCTTCGCTAAGAAGCGCTCAGGGTTGAATTGCGACGGGTTAGCATACGTCCGCGGGTCATGGAGCATAAACCTGTTATTAAATTATGTTAACATATGGATCACAAAAAAAGGGAAGTACTAGCCAAATGTTAGGTATCACTACGGAGCCTTTTGGAATGTAGTAACCGTCATGGATTTCGTCGTCAGTGACAAGATGGGGGAAACCTGTCATTGAGATTACCCCTCGTCAAGTACAGAATGCGATAAATAGGATACACATACCGGTAGGGGCGACAACATTCCAGCGTAAGATTTCTGTCGCAAGCGCCTCAGTATAGGGGAGGGAGTTGCGGTCAGCGAGGGAGGGAAGACGATCGGGACCGACGATGGCATCTATTTCAGCCTGAGCCTTCTTCTGTACATCAGGGAAAAGTGTCATAGCTAGGAAAAGCGAGTAGACTGCAGAAGCCGTCTACGGAAACAGGTGTTTCTCTCAAGACGATAATCTGAAATTTGTAGGGAGTGACCAACTGTATCGGCACCACCGCCATACAGAGATGCAGCAGACCATTTCACAATGTGTTCATCTTCTGCAGACAAAGCATCTTCCAACAGATTCGAGGTGAAAGACTTGAGGGCGACGCCAGCTGCCTGTAAAATTCAAACTTCAACTCATGATCGCACAACTACGAATCATTGTCACCATCTGATCCTTGACAAACTCGTACGGTGCAGCAGCCATCTCTTCGGTGGTCTCATGCCATTCACGGGCTATGCGCTTGAAGCCAGCGCCAGGGAACCATTCGGGAACCTTGGCCACTAAAGATAGTCAGGTCATTGGAAGTAAACATCAGGATGCTATAGTCCTACAAGATGGCACGATATCGACCATGAAGGCACCGGGGGCGGTGGTCCGCGAGAAGTAGTCCATAGCGCGGTCTGCAAGGTCAACGAAGGGATCATTGTTCTCCTTCACTTCATAGCCATGAGAGATTCGTAGAATGATAGCACCAGCGGTGCTATAAAAATTTAAGGTCACGTTAGTGCGACGATAAATGATACATACTGTCGAACATGTGTTTGTAGTTGGTCGGGATTCGCAAGCACACGCTTCAGAAATCGGTGGGTCTCAACCTCTTCTATCTGGTTGTAGATGTCCAAGGCGGCGTGACTGCCAATGACGTGGTGAAAGTGCTTGCGGTACCGGCGGAATCGGTCACCACAAGGGAGTAGAGGCAAAATGTGCTTGAAGCCAACAAGTTCGCCACCCATAGGAAGAACAGGACGGTCAGAGTATACAGCGCTCTTCTTGTCTAGTATGTCCGTGGCGGTCTTGGCAGAATTCAGTACAATGATACGTTGACCCAGAAGCTCAATGTGTGAGATATCGCCTGCAGACACGACTACTATGGAGCGCATGATTTTGGAAAAACGGGAGGTACTCACCATACTTGATGTGAGGCATGTCCATGAGGTTCCCGACGAGAGGCCACCCCGGGGGACCAGGTGGATATGGCGCAGGATTTTTCTTAGAGAACACCTGCTTTACCAGATACACTCCGGCACTAGCAAGGCATATGTCCAGCCAAGTTACGTTGGTAAGTATGGACATCGCCTACTAGCAAACAATGAAGCGAAGCAAAGAGGATGTGGGTTGTATAGTCAACAGTCCAGAGTCGCTCTCCAGAGATTATATAGCCGTTTCATTTTGTTCTTGATCAAGGTCTCGTATGAAAGGAACAGGGAAACGCCTGACGAGAGCCCGCAGAGAGTCTGACGAACCCACTATTGTACGAGCCAGAAACCAAGATTGGACGAGTCCGGAAGAGGAGATCCACTTGACAGCATGGGCCGCCCCCTCGGGGTAGGCTGCAGCCCTCCGAGTCTGCGACTGATATTTACCTGTCTTCCGAGCAGCTTTCGGGCGATGATCTCCTCTATTATGTAGAAGGAACAACTATTTTCCGAGTTCTTCTATTAAGGAGACAGGATGGAGCAATTAGCCATATAATCCGAGTCGCGCGTAAAATGAAAACTCACGTGAAAGTAGTCTAGAGGACTTTTGAAACCCAATTCAAGGATTAGTACATGGTCATCATCATGAGCATGAAAAAAAATCGGCACTCTCGGTGGGCTGCTGTGCCGGCGCCCAGCTGCAGTGCCATTAGTCTTGACACCAGACATTCTAGGAACACGGTGGAGATTCTTCGGTAATTATGCAGACCGATGTCGTGCTGTACGGATAAGCTTAGCATCGGGAATTTCATATGACATACGATCATGGTCTTGCCAACCCGCGTTTTCTCCTTCCATCCATCGATACAGCCAATCCATTCCGGAAGTCTCATTACCACATCACTGCCCTGGGCTTCCCACTCCATCCCCTATTTCGACCAAATCCAATTATCCGAACAACCTTGTCCTTGGACGATCTGACAATTCAAGCCTATCGGTTACTAAGATCCGCAGCAGGTGGGCGTCTCGTAAAGCACGGTGGGCGAGTTTGGTCGTGATTGAGTTCGAGATGAGCAGACGGAAGGCATTACGCGCTCAGACGAGCGACAACCAATATCGGAAGTAGTAGTATATTTAACAAGCTATGTACAGCTGAAATACATAACATCGTTAGAGCAGCAAAAAACTACAAGTAAGAGGGTCTCTGATATCATTACGTTCACTCTGAATTTCAGAGTCACGGCAATAGCTTCCACGAGAGAACTGTAACGATCATTACAAGAACACTTGGTATCGGTGCGGATGCCATAGCGCCGCTGGATCCTGGAGCAGGAAGGAAGTGCGAAGCTTGCTCCTGCTGTTCCGATGAAGACTCCTGGTATATTTTCACACATCAGCCCCATCCTGCTGAGGAAAGAAGAGGTAAAAACCTTGAATGCAACTAATCCCACAATGATGCCAGCAGCAAAGAACATGAAGGCGATTATGAGCCAGATGACGCCCCACACTGAGAGGGACATTAGTGAATATCCACCAGAGATAGAGATCTTTACCTCTAGATGGGAAACAGCCACAAATCCGAGCGAAAGCGGATGCATCAGAGCTATTGACTTTTCGCGCGATGGTATCATCTGAAGGTAGCCATGAGTGTGATGCGTGCAAACTTCGGGGGAAGACTTACCTATCACGTCCCACAGCACATATAAATCTGACATCACGCCAACAAACAAGATCTTATGGAGAGGTTTAGCATGGAATATGAGAACCGGCAAGAACACCACGCACAAAGTAACGCAATGCAACACTATCCGCCACAAGCCAGAATAACACGATCAAGCCACACATTCCAAGGATGAGCACCCATGTCCTGCGGAATTTGCTCAGCGCCCGTCCATCCGCAGCTAAGCAGTGCAGGAACCATACTCACAACCAATTCCTGCGCGCCCACCATAGCGTGAAGAGGAAAAATACACCAAGAACGAGACAGGCTACTTTGCTCGCATTTGTGTCAAATCCGCATGCAATGAGGCAAGCACCGATGAGTGAAGAACCGAGGTATCCGGCAGGAAGGGTGATCCAGGATATGCCGCCCGACATGCGGGTCTCGCCACCTTCGTCCGCTGCCCGAATAGTGACAGAATAAGCAGGGGCTCAGTGGTGAAATGATTGACATCAAACTAACGATCGAGCTCCACGGAATGGATAGTGGCACAAGTCAAAATACCAGCAATGGCGTGGCTCATCTAGGAAATGGCTTAGCGCCTCGTGTCTTGAGCAGCGGCGAGGTAAGCCTACCTCATGGAAGCCCACAGTCAAAAGTCTGCAACAATATCAGCCGAGTGAATTGCGGATCCAGGGGAGTACGTACTTGAAAGGGTATACTGTCCGTAGTAAGTAGATCCAGAACACATCAGGACACCGCAGGAGGGCATGACATGAGGAGGTACGCACTAATCCAACTCAATACCGGCACATGCCTGTGAACAAGAAGGCTCAACGGACCCGTTGGGCCATTGCGGGGGGGACTGGCACTTACCAGAGAATCGCGATAACTACGACATAGCAGCCTGCAACGATTAACGTTGTCTTCTGAGTAGCATTTGGAGTGAGTTGTGTGCTGATATCTCTAGCGTACAAACTGAAGTTTCGGTCATCAAGGTAGGGCATTTCGTAAATCGTAAAGAAGAGCCGTGGAGGACGGACGAAGAGCACAACAAGCTGCGCGCTCAGCCCAGCCCATAACCCAATCAACCAAAGCCTTAAAGCACGTGCACTTGGTAGGCGCTAATACCAGTGACCGAGAGAGTCAAGACAGGAGACAGTAATGAGACAGAAATGCATAAATCCATTATACGAAAATAGTAAACAGGGTACATAAACAACAGACCGAGGGTAACGACACAACGCAAGATGGCAGGAATACAGGATGAAGAGAATACAAGAACATATCAACGACACTAGAAGGTAACTTAGAGCTCATCGTCGGTGACTTCTTCACCTCTTTTCTTACGAGCCATGCGCTCCTTCTTGAGCTGTGGGAACAAGAATTGTGAGCACAGTTCGGAGCCAAACGAATCAAGTAAACTAACCTTGCGTTGCTCAGCAGACGTAAGTTTCTTGGCCTTTTTGTTGTCGATCTTGTTGCCCATGGCATCATATTGAACCTCCTCTTCACCATCCTTCTTGTCAATGCGGGGACCAGAACCCTGGCCCTCAACCCAGTTGTGGCCGGAAGCCTCGAGATGGCCATCGCGCATGGCCCAAACCTCGTGGCAGAGGGACTCGGAGAAGTCCCTGTTGTGCGTGATAACGAGGACACCACCCTCGAAGACCTTCAAGGCTTCGATGAGCGCAGCAAGCGACTCACGGTCGAGGTAGTCTGCGTGGGACGTAAGTAATAGAAGGGAATAAAAAAGTAATGAACGTACTAGTGGGCTCATCCAAGCAAATGACGTGAGGCCGGCGCCAAGTAGCAGCGCCAAGAACGATCTTGACCTTCTGACCACCAGAAAGACCCCTCATACTGTTGTGCGAGACAAACTCAGGCTCGAGACCGAAGTCAGCAAAGTGCTTCTCAATCTCCCGACGGACGAGAGGGCGCAAGAGACCGAGGCGCTGGGCCTCACGGGTATCCACCTCAAGCACTTTCTGTAAAGCGATGTGCCATCAGCATTAAGAAGCTGCTGTAAGCGAACAGTACGAACCTTTTCGTAGCCACGCTTGATGAGTTCGTCACGAGGCATCCACACATTCTCTGAAGAGCTCATGTTCTTGAAAGAAACCTCATACTCGTAGGATTGCTTCAACTTCTTGCGCGCAACGATCTCTTCGATCAACCTCTTCGAACCGTCCTCGTGAACGTAAAGGGCACCATCCTTCATCTTTTGTGCTTCAGCCTCAGTAATTTGACGGCTAGCCTTCTGCATCTCTTCCAAATCCTCACCAGTCTGGTAACGCCAGAGCATGTATTCGAGAGGAGTCTTGTCGAGGTGGTGGTCAATGTGGTGGAAGGCGTGCTGAGCAACGTAACCGATGACCAAGTTAGGATGCTTCCAAATTTCACCGCCCTTGTTGGGCTCCATGTCGCCAATGAGGAGCTTGACTAGGGTCGACTTGCCCGAACCGTTGGGACCGAGAACGGCAACACGAGACGAAAGAGAGACTTGGAGATTGATTTCAAAAAGTTGCTGGACGGCTTGCGTGGGGTACTGGAAGCCAACCTTGCGCATCTTGAGCAAGCTCTTCTCCTTGGTCTTGACACCCTCGAGCAAAGGAGGATCGGGGAGTTTGAACTTGTAGTCCTCAGCGGCCTCAAGGGTGTAGTAAGACTTCGCCTCAGGAACAATCTTGACAAAGGCCTCAAGGTTACCACGGTATCTCTTGACCTTGAAGCGGTTGAGGTGAAGGACATCGGTGATCGTGTTGTTGAGGAAGCTAGAGTCGTGCGAGACGATAATGGAAGTGCAGGTCTTCAGGCCGACGAGATAGTTCTCGAGCCAAGCAACGTTGACGACATCCAAGTGGTTGGTAGGCTCGTCAAGGAGGAGAATGTCAGCCTTGAAAAGCATGGCCCTAGCGAGGGCAAGCTTCATCTTCCATCCACCTGACAAGCTCCCGATGGCGTCCTTCTGACGCTCATCGCTGAAGCCGACAGAGGCGAGGGTCTCGATAACCTCAGCCTCGTCAGCAAGAATGCGGTCATCAGAAAGGATGAACTGAAGGACCGACGTGTCGGCCTCACTGCCATCGATGTCGTGCTCGACATAGAAGGTGCGAACCTCGTCGGGAGAAGGGAAGCCTTCAACCTGTCCGTTGGTGATGGCACGCATGAGGGTTGACTTCCCTGTACCGTTCTTACCGCAGAGGCCGTAGCGGTGACCTCGCTTGAGGCGGAGGGTAGCGGTGTTCAGGAGAATCTTTGCACCGTAGGCAAGAGAGAACTGGCAGTTGCACAGGTCCTCACCCTCCTCCTCGTCATCGGGGACGGTATCGTCCTCAATGTCATCGCTGGCAGAGCGAACAACCCATTCCCTCGCAATGGAGATAGGGTCAGGAGTGGAGGCAACGAATGCGACGTAAGGAGCAAGTGTGTCCCACTCAGGAACGTCGAAGTTCTTGGCGTTAACGAGGTTAGCAGCAAGGCGTGAGACGTAGACGGTAGAAGCATCATTGGCGGAGGGAGTAGCAGCGCCTGCTTTCTTGTAGATGGCAGCGAGCGACGAGGTAAGCTGCGATGCCTCCGCAACTTTCAAAGCAGGGAGGTCGGTACCATCGCTATCAGCGGGAACTTCACCGACTTGGCGGAGAGTGGCAATGGCTTTGCCAACCACGCCACGAGCCTCGGGGTCACCGATGGTGGTCTCGACCTTGATCAAGCCAGGGAGTAGGTTGGGCAAGAATGGACGGACAGTGACAGGAGAGTCCACGAGCTTGGCCATGTTGTCGACAATACTATATGCGAAATGAGATCTGCGTCAAGATAAAGAAGTGGTCAAAACTTACACTGCAACTTTACGCTTCGTAGCCGTAAGCTTCTCTAAGAGACCACGAGACAAAAGGGGAACCATGAGGGAAAGAGTAGCGGAATCGACTTCGGAAACGAATGTGGTAGCCGAGAGGAGCTGAACGGTATTCGGCACCTCTTCAACCGGATTTATGAGAGCTTTAATAAGAGCTGGAATAAAGCGTTCAATGTCCTTGTTCGAGACCAATGCAGTAGCCTTCGTAAGAGAATCGCGTGCAGCCTTCTTCACGTCCGCCTTGGTATCCCAGATAGCTTCAGCAAGAATAGGAACGATGTCGGGCATCAGGCGAGCAGTTTGAAGGGGCGCAGACACAACGAGCTGGTTGAGGACAATAAGTGCGCCAGTCTTTACTTGCCATTTACCGGCAGTTTTAATTTCGTGAAGGAGTGCGGGAAGAAGAAGACCGGTAGCCCAGGGGTTCATGGAGGCAACAAACTCCCGAACTGCCTCAACGGCTGCGTTACGAGGGGCAGGCATCTTGTCGGCGAAGCCCTCAATCAGAGCAGCGCAAAGACCAGAATCAACGAAAGTGGGTTCAAGGGCCTTGGTAGCGCCCGCCTTGGCAAGGGCAACTACAGCATCGGCCGCGCCCTCACGGGCAGCAGCGGATTTTTTGTCGGCAAGAGCCTTAACTGCGGCTTCATTGAAACCGACAGCGGCAATGGCAGCAGGGCCATCATTTTGCACGGCCGAGGCCAAAGCCTTTGCGGCTGCATCGCGGGTAGCTTTGTCAGCGACAAAGAGAGCAGCCACATCGACTTGACCATCAACAGGTCCCTTGAGAGAGGCAGGGGAAGGAGTAACAGGAGCAGTAGCGGTAACAGCAGGCATTTCTAGTATCTAAACTTACTGTGAGTACCTGGAAGAAAGACATGAGCGAAAGAAACTAAACGTACCTTTAGTGAAGACGTTGAAAAGTAAGTTTTCGGATTAAGCAAACGAAGGCTATAGAATGCGCTTCTATGTCTACTGGACGGCAAATGCCTGAAAAGCGGTCAGTTGCAGAAGAATGTGGAGGAGGTTGACCGACCTCTATAGGGAAATGAAGAAGAACAAAAAAGTGAGAAGAGGAGTGAAGAAAATCGATAACAAATCCCAGTGATATAAGGTAACTGCCTCCTGCGGAGTTGGAAAAATTCGAGATAATCTCAGATTCTCACCTGGTCTTACCCGCCAATAAAGGCGGTGCGCCGGCAAGATCGCTGATCTTACATCACCGAGCAGTGCTAGGCAGTGTGGGGCATTGTACTCTTACGACCTTACCCCGCATTTTTGAACCATCTCAACGTCCTATTACTCGATATCATACCTACAGGACAGCAGAAAAGAATGTGGGCAACATATTTCGTTACTCTTTCTCGTCTAGCTTAGCAAAGCTCAACGGCGTGAACGACTGATTCGGAAAAAAATAAATCAGCATGCGCACTCCACGCACATAGAAATGAAACCACGCGACGTACATATCCCTCTCCTTGGTAATGTTTACTGTTCGCTTCGACCCAGTGCAGACGGAGCGCATGCAAAAATGCCGAGAGACCCTGTTTTAGATGGCAACATTTCACGACAAAAAGAAGCATGAGTATGTCTGATCCACGCCTGATGGGCACGTTTGTAACACGCACCTCCATGATACACAAGATGAATACGGTCAATGAGAACCAGAATGCGACCATCACTACGAGGGCAATCGTCCCGAAGATACCGGGAAGTCCCAAAACCTTGTCGAGCGTCATTGTCCACAGCACCTCAGAGAGCTGGGCGTGTGCCAACGACAGGGCCCACAACCGAAGGTAAGATGCGGTGTGTGAGATACAACCAAGACAGAATTCGATGGTGTGAATTATCTGATGGATAACCACCTCACTGAAGTCATGTTGTTCCTGTAGATATGGATCAGTAACAACGCACCCCTATCTCCCAGGGTCATAACGTACATGCTCTTCTTCCATCTCCTCCACAATGACACGACCATTACCCTCTTCCTCAATTTCCAGAACCTCATCTGTGCTCTCGCGAGGTCCACCATTACGGTGACCAAGTCCAACGTACCCTTGACCCTGGATCTGTTGCATCTCCTTCCATTGGAAGTAGGGTTTGGTGCACAACATCCAAGGCACGCAGACAAGCGCGAGGAGAAGGAGCACGACCTGAATGAAGCCTTGTCCGGGATATAGCTGTGTTTGAGGATCTACTGTCCCCGGCGAAAGGAACATCGCAATCAGCATGTTCAACAATGAGGGTGGCTCCGTTGATCGGGTGGACCAATCAATCGACCATTTGTAAAGGATGCATACGACCAAATAGCCGAAAATCGACTGCAAGAAGATCATTTGGGGCACAAAGTTGGCATAGATGTCAAGGGGACGTTTGAACTTGATGTGATTGGGGAGCTGTAGGCACAGGGCAAATGTCATCTAAAAAAAACGTGATCGTTTGAGCTTAATAATCGAGCCGCCCCACAGTGGAAATGAAAACACACATGAATGACTCCGAGCACAAGCGACATCTTCATCTTGTATGAATTCGTAAATACGAGCCCATTGTCCGCACCATGCCAAGCAGGATCCACCCCAAAGGGATATATGTGACCGTTGGGTACGGCGAATGAAGTTCCATTCGACTCTGGGAAGTCCCATCCTGAGTGCCAAATGTGGAGACTCTTGGAGAAGACGTCGTTGTACATGAGACCAGTATAGACCGAGAACATGCCCATGAGAAGAATGATATATCGACCGCTTGTGTCGATGTTAGCGAGGGCATTGAGTCGATTCTCTTAGAACTTACTAGAAGAACTGGCCGAGGATCTGGCAAAGGACAAACATTAAGGTTAGATACTGCGTGTGCCAGCAAAAAATGACCAACTTCATCAAGTTCCTGTCTTGCCCACTTCTTCTCGTTGAAAATCATGTACAATGCGGCAAAGAAGATGATGAACCCATGCCCAATGTCACCAAACATCACGGCAAACAAGAAAGGGAAGGTAATGATCGCAAATAGACCAGGGTTAACTTCTTGGTAGGTTGCAATACCGTAAGCGTCCATGATGGTTTGGAAGCCTTCCGTGAACTTGTTGGTGCGCGTGAAGGTTGGCGGAGTTTTGTTCGTGCGCAACTCTTGCAAGATAGGAACAACACTCGTTCCAGACTCTTCCTGAGATTAGGTGCGTGATTGGGAAGTTCATCAACAACATGCAGCTGTCTTACCGTGGCGTGACGAAGTGCCAGCTGAATCATGGTCAGGTCCCTTGTTGGGCACCAACCCTCAGCCACAAGCGTCTTCCTCCTGACATCGTAGTTGAAAAGGTTCATCGTCTCATAAATCGCCTTCTCCTTGCGGACGACATCCTGCCACCTAGCCAGATTCTCCCCGATTCTCAGCAGCTCGCTTCGTCTGTTTGTACCTGTGTTGTACAACACAGTCTCCAAGTCTTCCAAGCGAGCGGTAACCTCACGCAGAGAATCTGATCGTTTGTCGGCGTTGGCGTCGATTGGATAGAGTGTCGCACCCATCGACTCTGCCACTTTTCGAATCTTGGCAAGTAAGGCATCCCCATGTGCAAAAATTATGAACACATTCTTGCGCGTCTCAGAACCAGTAGCGGGGTCAATGAAGGGCTCTGCAATGTCCGTGTGATTCATGTACAGATTACCCCTCAGGACACGCCACAAGACACGCTCGAACGTCGATATACGAGTGCGGTCGATGGTGCCAGCGACGAATCTATGTTCGTGTCAGTACATTAGTTGCAAGGACATCCATGGACGTACTCAAGGTCAAACTGTAGATTGGATGAGTACTGCTGCTCCCGGTCGTCATGCTGCAGAAGAGGAGCAGAGCTGTCATCAAAAGAAGTCCTCATGTCAGTCTGCTGAGTCTCAGCCTGCGTGCCGCAAGTCAGTTTGTCGTTTATGCAGACCCGTCAATCAAACAGACTTGCCTTCTCAAAGAACACAGCAGTCTCTCTGAGAACATGCCGGGCCTCCACCAGCTCCCTTGTGCGCTCACTCAACGTCTTGTAGCTGTCATTCATCTGCACGAGCCGCGTCTCATGCTCAGTAAGTGTGACATCCAGCTCGTCGATATTATGCGCAGCACTCGGTCCAACTGTGACCAACAGCGCAGAATCATAGAGAGGACGGGTAGGAACTACATCCTTTTCCTTCTGAATCTGCGACTCGAAAAACCGAACACGTCGTGCCATTTCTTCCGTTCTCCTTATCTCACCGACGAATGAACGTTGAAAGGGATTGACAGCAGGATTCAACTGCGCTGACATTCAGCAAACGACAACAGTTAAACAGAGCGTACACACATCTTTGAACTGCACATTTCCCAGCTCACCGAGCTCTGCAACTGTGTCGTGGGCAACTTCGGTTGGGATATAGAGCTGCATCAAGCTCATCTGTTCCGAACCTGGTGAACAGTCAGTATAGAGAAGTCATTATAGTTCATGCTCATGCGCACGGAACAGCGTGGGGTAATCGTCCCCCATGTTATTAGATTCGTACGCGTATTGAATAAAGGAGAGTAAAGGCAGAAGGATTTCTCGCCAATTCTCGCAGCAACTTGAAGTTACACCGTTTGTTTTGGCTTGTGTGTGCTGTTGCCGGCTACACGTGATCATCGATCATTCCCTCAACGTCCTTCAACCGGGGATGGGGAGCGGCAACTCAGCCAAAGAAAGTGTGGCATTTTCATGCAGGGACAAATATTCAACAATGTTTCAATATTAGGAGGTGAAAATTAGCGAGGCAATGATTGCCTCCTAGCATTACTACTTTTCTGTCCAAACTTCTTTCACCAGCAACATGTCATTGCCAGCCCCCCACGAGCCTTCCGGCTGCACAACCCCGCAGCGCGGTGTGATCTGTGGTTTGATGAAGGAGATATCATCTTGATCGCAGAAAATAATGCATTACCAGTGGTTGCTCTCCCAGTACTCTATAATTTTCCAAGAGATAATCAGCTCGTCTTAAATTATACATATGTAGCTTGTACGGCCAACTACACAGAGTGCCACGTGTAAGAAAACATAAAGAAGCGTTTCTTCTAATCAGTATATAGTACAACGGATGCCCAGAACCAGCCCACCCTGGACGGAAACACATCTCCAATCCTTCCGCACAGGCTGGGAACACTCTTCGGCTCCGTATACCAACCATCACCCCAAAACAGAGACGGGCATCAAAAAATAACAAAAAAAAGTGGCCTACATGCCTTGTCAATCATTCCTCCACATCCATATCCACCACATCGTCATCACACCCATCATTATCCTGAGCAGACCCAACATCCCCGTCGCGCAGTTTCTGCTTGGCGATGGCAGCAAAACCCTCCTCAGTCTCATCAGTGAGCCTCAAAGGAGCCGTGGTATCATCATCGACGATAGCTTCTGCAGCTTCTGGGACGACAGGGGCCAAGTCCCGCACGCAATCGCACAACTTTTCGAGACACTTGTCAAACGTCGGATCAGCCAAGACATTGCGTGCGCGTTCCGCTGCAAGACCTTTCGACAAAGACAGGTTAGTGGCTGTAATAGGGCCGACGACAACTACGTCATGCACGACCACAGACACACTATCGTTTCGGCGGAGATCTGGATTACTCTGTGTCTTCCTGGAAAAAGAATGCGTCAGGAAAACCCTACAGACATTCGTCCAGGTACTCACTGGAAGGATATCCGCCTGCATCCTGCAGCAGCTGCCCAGACCATCAACTCAGACACAGGGTCTCGAGGTAGATCCGTTGTCAGGGCTTCCAGCACATCGCTGATCACCGCTTCGACTATGACCGCCGTTTTCTCAAAATCGAAACGGGTGTCAACCAAGACTGCTCCAACAATGCTTTCCAGCACGTCGCTCAGCGCTTTCGGCGGATCGTATTTCCATCCCTTGCTGATGGTGTCCTCAGGGGAGAGAGATGTGAGCAGGGGAACGTGTCTCGCGATCGCAGTGCTTAGTTCCACATTATTGATAAGTAAATGCTTGTGAAGGCCGAGCCGCCTCACAGAAATGGAGGCAAGGGTTGGCCCACACACAGCTCGCGAACGAGCAGCCGACAGCTGACCTGAAGTGGCTTCTGGGAACTTGTTGAACAGATACCTCATGACGACAAGGTCAATGACAGCTTAACACATCATCAGTCACTGGCTCAGAAGCAAAGCATTGAGTGCTGCTCACCATCGCCCAAGAATTCTAACCGCTGATAAGAAGATCCAGCAGTGGTTGCGAAAGACGGGTGGGTCGCGGCTTCAACCAAAAGATCGCCACGGTGAAACTCGTATCCGAGGTTGGTTTGAAGGTCAGCGAAAAGGGGTGGCGCCGGGGATGATTCTGGGGGACGAGAATATCGCAGCGGCCATGGAATGGTGCCACCCACGCACATCCCCAGGGCGTCTCCCGCATGGAGGGCCATATCCATCCCTCCATGCAGAAATGCAGCGCCTAACGTAGCCTCCATACAGTCCTGTAAGCTTCTACGAGGGTACGCTCGATGAGCATGCCGCTTCGCAGGTGTGAAAGGTTGCATGCGGTCATCATCTTCTGGAACGGTATGGCGCCACACATGGAGACTCTGACCCTCCGAAGTGAGGTACTTCTCAAGACCAATCTCTAATGCCCTTGCCAGCAGAGTCCGATTCGACACACTGTTCTGGCGCAGCTGAGATAGTTGTCCCTCGTGTCGGTGGGGGTACTTGTTCATGACATGAACAGTTGCGGCAAGCTTGAGAACAGAGTCTCCTAGCGTTTCCAAACGCTGGTTATTCCACGTTGCACTTGTCGTGGGCAAAGTCGATGCTTCAATCAAAAGCTCGTCCTTGATGGGAGGTAGCCCTAATTCGAAGCGTTCTTGTTGAGCGCGGTACAGGTCTGTAGCGCGGCGGCATATCCGTGGAAGGAAGAGGAATGCCTGGTACACGTTCTCCGAGAAATGCGTGCGCCGACAGGCCCCCTGGGGTACAAGCACTCCCGGTCGTGCCATGTGACGCTTGTACTTGTCAACGTCCTGTAAGCGGTGCGCTGGTCGATACAGACCGGAAGGATGACGCGGAAGGTAAGTGGCTTCAACCAAAGGACAGTCGGTCGGAACGACCGCTTCGCGGGTCTTCCTGGTCCATCTCTGTACGAAGAATTCTTCGTAGGTGGAGCAGGAAGACTCACGGGAGCCAGGTGGTGGTACAGACAGTGCGGTCAAGTCGTGTCGTATATTGCGCAGAACCATAGCTCGTCCAAACTGATTACAGTTCATGATCAGGGTGCGGTGATAGTCGTTTTCAGTCACAGATGACCAATCGTAAGTTCCTAGAGGATCGGTGACAACACGCTCCACAGCGTCGAAGTCGATACAGTTGTGAGGAGTCAGTGGAACGAGGAAACAAGTAATGGGGAGAGTAACGGGCCGGCCAGTGATGCAGAACCAGATGCCCATTTTGGTATACTCGTTTAGCATCTCCAACTTCTCCCATTCCTCGTCCTCGTCAAATACGAGCTCGTCGGTGCACCGCAATGTGACACGGCAGCCTTCGCTCATGATCTCCAGTACCGGTAACTCCGTGCCGGTGACGAGTCCTGCAACGTCAACGCCATCTATGGAAATGACGTGCATCCTCAGCCGCGGCCCCAGAGCCCAAGGATCCCGCACCGGGACGTCTATGATGTCGGGCACATCAGTCACATCCATAAGTTTCCTCCCGTCACCATCCTCTAGGCCCCTACCCTTGGAGCCAGCTGACGGAAGTAAGTAGTCGTCGAATACCCCGAGTTTGTGAAGCTCCTTGACAGCCATGAATGCTACTGCGCGCCGGGCCTCCCGCTTGGAACACCGCATTGGTCCACGGAAGACCAATTTATCGATCGGGAGGGGAAGGCTCGATGGCAGCTCAAGTACAGTGGCGTAGTCACCGCTGTACTTTGGGAGCGGGGTAGGGGTGAATGCGTCATGGGGAATTAGGGAACATAGATAGTTCAATAGGCTGATGGCGGAACCATATGTGAGCACAGCACCCGTAGAAGGGACTATATAACGCTCGCGTGCGGCCAAATCGACTGGATTCTCCTCCTCTACTTCACCTTCTTCCGAATCGGAAGGCGTTGGTGAGGGTGGCCGAGTAGGGTTTTCTCGGCTCTGATAAACACGCTTGAGCTCCGGTTCGCTATCAACAAATATCTTGTAACGGTTGAGGTGTGCCATATGACCTTCCTGGACCATAATAACGAACGTGGAGGTTTTGGTGCGTGCTCGACCGCGTGATTGTACGTACCCGACCATATGATGCAGCGGGTCGAAACGGATGACAAGGTCGCAAGCCTGATAGAGAAGATGAGTTGGTGCACGACAATAGATAAAGATCCTTACAGGAAAGTCGAGACCTTCCTCAGCGACTGACGTTGCTACAACTGTAACCGTACACCCTCAGATCAGCATGCCGACAGCCATGGAGATGCGAACGCACGCAAGTTCAAAGTACCATCACGGAAGGACTTCACAACATCCTGCTGACGTGCAAGACCCATGCCCTTCACATTGGCGGTGGCTGCATGCTTACCACGCTGCCCATGTCCGCCACCATGCCCAACAAGCTCCGCACATCGAATACTCCCTCGAAGCTCTGGTATGTGCGAAAGGATCTTTGCCAGACAAGCCGCCACCTGCCGTTGCTCTACAAATACAATTCCCTGAAAAGTCGGAGTATAATGGTCGAGTAGCACTTCCGTAAGTGCCTTGACTTTGGGAGAGCACCATGCGAGTGGTACAGTTATTGGCACGGCAGGAGGAATAGAATCATCCTCGAAGAAAGGCCGAAAATCACAGAGGATGAAGTCGATTTGCTCAAGGTCAGGAGGAATGACGATAGTGGTCTCTGAGGGTTCGTCGACGTCCATGCTAGGGTATGTGTCGTCGTCATAATTAATTTGTGGTCTGTCCTTGATTGATGCTTCTAGGTCACTGATGATCTGCGAGATTCGTGCTTTGATATCGTGGTATAGGTAGAGGTCGGCACAATATGGACCAAGGCTGTTTCGGGTGACATGATACTTCATCTGAAGCTTTTCCCACGGAATAGCCACGTCGGGGGAGCGGAACAACGAGACACAGTCCCATAGATTAGGATGTAGGTAGATGTAGTTGGTAGGTGGGGGGTAGTACTCCTTGATGATCTGTGGAACTGTTCGTCAGGTCTTGTATTCCAGAACTAGGGAGTTGAATACCTCAAGGGGACGAGGGGAGTTATGAAGGAGCTCAGACACATGCTCGCGAACTGCGATGACGATAGCATCAAGGTTCTTCTCGAGGGTCATGAGGGATCCCTGAGCATCTTTTGGATTCCAAATTGGAGAGGCAGTCATGCCAAACACTTTTGGGCGCTGGAACGATGGTGTTTGGAAATATTCACGCATAATGCCGTTGTATGCGTGATTTTTCCTGGTGTGATGGCACTCATCAAAGACGAGAAGAGAAACCTATCCTACGCGTAAGAAAGGTTAATTTGAAGAGGAAGATAACTGAGTACCTTATCGATGCTCCAGTGCGAATGGGTGATGATGTTCAAGAATATTTGCGCTGATAACATTAGATCGATCATCGAAAGCAATCTATGAAGGAGGTACATACCAGTCATAACTACGACGTCGGATTTCTCGAAGGATGTCCTCCAGTTGGCACGATCTGTGAGCTCCAGATCGAGAGATCCATGGAACTTCTTGACTCGCAAAGGAGTGTGTGCTGCGATGAAGTTGGCCTGCTGTTCAACGAGCGCTACTTTGGGTACCAGGAACACAATGACTTTGCCGCGGGCGCTCTCTTGCAGTACGATCCATTTGATGAGTAAGATGCTGATGAAAGTCTTTCCACTGCCAGTATCGAGTGCTGCGATTATATTACATTCTTGAGCGCGTTGAAATATCTCCTCTTGATATTTTCGAGGGAGAATGGTCTCGTTGACTGATTGTATGGAGGAGTCTTGAGTGACGGCCATTGCACTTGAAATGGATGATGTTGAATAGATTAACTACTCTGCATATTATACAGGACAACGCTGTCGGCCGGAACGATATCGATGGCAGAAGGTGATCACAGCTGCAGTGGAGTTGAAGAAAATATTGCTTGCGTACAGCCAAACTCGAACGTTAAACACCGTGGGAGAGCGTGAGTAGCATCGGAGAACAAGTCAATCGGAAATTTTGTTTGCTCGCTGAGTCTAAAGTCACGCTGACCGCAGCGCACGGCGGCGCAGATTTTCATGTTTCATGTGGCAAGCGAAAGCGAGAGCTGCGCACCGCGATCTGTGCAACTAACCGGCCGGTGTCTCTCCAACAAAGATACGGAGATGTGAGCCCGTAATCTCTACTTCCGCAATTCACGTGCCCAGCAACGTGTCGTGACGGGTGGGGATGTCGGAAATTTCTAGCGAGCCTCCGAAGTCCATTCAAGCCATTTTAAGGACACTTTTCACACGACACCCTTTTAATGCATGCTAATGATGTAAGATAATATTTTACAGCTATTTTTATATCGATAGACCAGAATCTGGAAAACACATTTAGCCGCTTTTGTTTGTTGTTGGAGCGACACCAAACAGAGGCGCACACGCTAGCTACTTTTATGAATCTTTAACGTAACTTGAACTTGTGGGGCTTGTGTGGCACTGCGGGGCAGTTGCGAGACCCTGGAATCGTACCGCACGCACTGACCTACGACCAGCCGCACATGGTGCACTGTGGTTATTACCAACTGCAGGTGACCTTGTCAAACAAACGAAGCCCTCGCCGTGCAAGACACTGCAATGTCGTCAAAGGTAAGTTTTGCTCATCATCAAATGGGCTCCACTTAGTTTCTGCAACCCTGGCATTCTAGCGAGATCGCCGTCTCTTCGTCTCCGTCGAAAACAATGGTTTTTGGATCATCTGACAATGTTGATCCATCCGGGCACGTACTCAGGTTGCTCTGTGCTATATAATCCTGCTAGTGAGGGGTGAGTTGCTGCATCAATCATCTCCAATGTCTGACTCGAACCCTAGTTCTCCAAGCCAGAGTCCTTTCATTAACGACGACCAACGTGAGGTCCTCGAACATCGCTATCCCCGTGCTGGTTATTGGTTCAATATGCTTCTGACGCATCCATTCATTCATGGTCCTCCAAGTCAGCACTCGCAAACTCAATTACGAGGCCCTGCTGGCATGCCTCTATCTTCGCTCCAAGAAATGCTACAACTTAATCCTGATGATGTGGTCCATCGAGAGTCAGCCACTGCACCATCAACTCAACAGCCACGCCACCCTGGCGGAAATATGGTGGTTCGTAAGTACATCCGCCATTTCATCGCACAACTAGACAACATCTAACTTCATGTGTTGTCAGCTATCACCAACATCGATATCTCTGTACTGTAGAGATACGACACACCTGGGTTTCCCAATAAGTAAGCCTTATAAGGCTGGACGATCACGTGTCTCGCCCAGCCTTATTTGGCTCAACAGTGTATTTTCCCCAACACCAGCATTAAATAATGCCCCAAATAATGTCCGGAATTGTTCTCTAAGGCTTGTGGCTGCGCGAGCCAAAACGGGTAAGCGATGCTTTGTTCCCACACTGCGGACAACATTCCGCACGTTGCCGGAACCTTCGTGCTCGCTGTTGCCCACAGCGAGCTCAACTACCACAGTATTTTACCACATTTCTTTGTATTTTTTTACTGTACTATGCAATGATACATTTAATAACATTAGTGTCGCATTTTTAAGCCCTAATGACTACAAACTAAGGGTATATACATGTATGAGGGCTGCAGAGGTATAATGGCTCCTCCACCTCACCTATTGGCCCTAGAGCGTTTCCCCCTGGTCGAAAATAATCCATTTTATGATTAGAACATGTCTATATAGTAAAAAATGCGAAATATAATTACCTGGAGGCTGGGGAGGGCGTTCTGAGGGGGTAAATGGGGGTAGGGGAGGGGAGGAGGGGGATTACATTGCCCTAGGCATCACAGAACCATCTATGGAGGTCCTATGAACATTCTGAATAGAGAGGGGAGTCAGTAGGAGGTCCTGGGGTTGCAAAAATGCGACCAAAGCAGGAGGTTGACTGCAGGTCATAGAAAAACCAAGGTAACTGCTCACCAATCAAGAGGACACATGAGCGGTGTTCAGAGAACATATTTAGACTCTATTTGAGTCATATGAGCCAGTACAAAGGGTGATAAAATTAGTATCAGAGACACAGTGTAAAAATGAACCAAAAACATGAAAAATTAAGAAGAGACTTACCAAGGGGTGCAGAGCGCAATGCTAGTGCATTGAATGGTGCATATAGCACCCCTAGTCCACTGAGACAAGTAGTACTTGTAAGGATGGGGAGGAGAACAGGTCAGAGACAGAATTGGTCCAAAAAGCGAACCATTGAGCTCACCAAGGCAAAGGAGATTCCCTGCATGTGTACCAGGGGGAAATAATGTCAGAAAGCGATGGGATACACCCTGTAGTGTTATTATATCAAGGGGGAGGAGCCATTAACAAGTGTAGGGCGAGTTAGACAGAAAAAAGTTCAACAGGGGGTGAAATCCACTCACCTTGCCAATACAGAGGCCCTGGGGGTATATAGTGACCCAGAGAGACCATAGAATGGTAAAATATACCTAGATGTGTTAGCCTAGTAAGTTTCATGACATAACAGAGAGATGTGGTTGAGTTATGGTCAAAATGAGTGGTTTATGTGTATGGCTGCGCTTCGGTACACATAAGGCAACTGTAGTGACTGAGTAGTTTACTTCCTCAACATCCATTTTGACCATAACTCAACCACATCTATTTGGTATGTCATGAAACTTACTACACTAATACATCTAGGTGTCTTTTATCATTCTGTGACCTCTCTGGGTCACTATATACCCCCAGGGCCTCTGTATTGGCAAGGTGAGTGGATTTCACCCCCTGTTGAACTTTTTTCTGTCTAACTCGCCCTACACTTGTTAATGGCTCCTCCCCCTTGATATAATAACACTACAGGGTGTATCCCATCGCTTTCTGATATTATTTCCCCCTGGTACACATGCAGGGAATCTCCTTTGCCTTGGTGAGCTCAATGGTTCGCTTTTTGGACCAATTCTGTCTCTGACCTGTTCTCCTCCCCATCCTTACAAGTACTACTTGTCTCAGTGGACTAGGGGTGCTATATGCACCATTCAATGCACTAGCATTGCGCTCTGCACCCCTTGGTAAGTCTCTTCTTAATTTTTCATGTTTTTGGTTCATTTTTACACTGTGTCTCTGATACTAATTTTATCACCCTTTGTACTGGCTCATATGACTCAAATAGAGTCTAAATATGTTCTCTGAACACCGCTCATGTGTCCTCTTGATTGGTGAGCAGTTACCTTGGTTTTTCTATGACCTGCAGTCAACCTCCTGCTTTGGTCGCATTTTTGCAACCCCAGGACCTCCTACTGACTCCCCTCTCTATTCAGAATGTTCATAGGACCTCCATAGATGGTTCTGTGATGCCTAGGGCAATGTAATCCCCCTCCTCCCCTCCCCTACCCCCATTTACCCCCTCAGAACGCCCTCCCCAGCCTCCAGGTAATTATATTTCGCATTTTTTACTATATAGACATGTTCTAATCATAAAATGGATTATTTTCGACCAGGGGGAAACGCTCTAGGGCCAATAGGTGAGGTGGAGGAGCCATTATACCTCTGCAGCCCTCATACATGTATATACCCTTAGTTTGTAGTCATTAGGGCTTAAAAATGCGACACTAATGTTATTAAATGTATCATTGCATAGTACAGTAAAAAAATACAAAGAAATGTGGTAAAATACTGTGGTAGTTGAGCTCGCTGTGGGCAACAGCGAGCACGAAGGTTCCGGCAACGTGCGGAATGTTGTCCGCAGTGTGGGAACAAAGCATCGCTTACCCGTTTTGGCTCGCGCAGCCACAAGCCTTAGAGAACAATTCCGGACATTATTTGGGGCATTATTTAATGCTGGTGTTGGGGAAAATACACTGTTGAGCCAAATAAGGCTGGGCGAGACACGTGATCGTCCAGCCTTATAAGGCTTACTTATTGGGAAACCCAGGTGATACGACACTAGGTTCGTCACAGGTCACAGCCCTTAACGAATCGAATCTATTTAGTGTGACTGTCACACGAATTTTTGGTGGGACGAAGCTAATTTGTGACATACGGAAAAAAACATAGGCTGTGCGCTAATGGGACCAGAAATCACCATACATCGAATTTGCGATGCGTCTACGCTTTCCACGCCCGTAATCAACCTTCGGAACACTGTTCGAGCCACTCTCCACATCTTTGGCAGTAATGTCACCCACATCATAGACTTCGGAGTGGTTTGAACACAGAAGTCCGCCATCTGCATCGATACGGCAGTCAGAACGGACACGTTCACCCCCGGAAGCCATATGGTCAAGAAGTGCATCCATTGGCACGTCACTGGCATCAAGGTCATGCTCGCTAGCATCGTCAAAGGGGGATTCAACTCCAATAGTATCAGTGGCCTCGTCCTCTGACTCGGAGTCTGTTGGCTGGTTGATGCTGACAGTCTTGTACTGAGCGGTAGCAATCCTCGTCCATCCAGCTGGATCATTCTTCTGAACATCACGTAAATATTGCAATGCCTCTCGACTTGCGAGGCTCGCGAATGAGAGATTGAAGTTCTCCCCGGCCTTACACATGAAAAATGCCTTGAAAACATGATTTAGCTCCGTGCATCAAGATTCAACAGTGCGAGAAAATGAGAAACAAACCTGCTTTACAAGCTCGGGCTTGTTTATAGCGTGATATCCATTTATTACCCACCGCAATGACCGATCACGAAGGGTGCCAATTGTTGTGTCGAGTCGGATGAGTGATGCAGACCTGTCTTGGGCAAGTCGAACAAGAGACTCGTTGACTATATCAGCATGCTGTGTCTGTTTGACTGCAAGTTTGAATGGTTGTTGAATACTGACGTCACATGGCTGACCAACACCAGTGCAGCCCCCAGGGACAAAGCGGTATTTGATCCAAGGGTAGGTCATATCCATCCACGTGCGAAATTGAATTGATCTGTGCACACTCCACATGTCGAGGTGCAAAATACACTCCTGGTCAGCCGGTGCATTGAGTAACACTTTCTGCTCCTCCCAGTAAGGCACCAGAATGTCGTTAACATACTCGCACATGAGGGGAAATGTTGACCAGTAAGTGTGTGTACTTGAGTACGAGATTTTGAACTTGAGTTCCATCGCTTCCTTGTATTGCGGAGTAGACTTTGAAGGAATAGAGCGTGAAGTTTTCCCCTCGTAGATCAGTTGCAAGGGGAGGGCATGACCTCCGGCAGATATTCTGTTGACGACAGTGAATGCTCGTTTTTCTTCCTGCCCGATCACGGAGACTTGCTTCGAGCCAATTGTTTCAAAAGTTGAGGTGTTTGCTGGCTGATAGACAATATTCGTCTGGTCGATATTGACGATGAATGCAGCATCGAAGATTGCACAGTCACGAATTGTGAGCGTTAAACGGAGGAACTGATCAAGGAGAAGTTGATCAACATTTGGTGGTGTTTTTTGTGCTGCACGTGTTGCCCTGCGGAAGCTCCAATTGAGATGCTCAGTGAGAAACTCCTTCACCCAACTCTCCGTGCAGCGGAAGCGAGAACCGTCCTTGGTGACATGCTCGAAAATATCAGGAACGGAGTGTTGCAGGCGTGCAAGGATAATACCACGGCAGCGGAGAGTGTCCAACACAACACCAACTAGATGGAGAGACTGAAGGTCATCGATGATCAATTTGACCACGTTGGGATAGGAGGATAGAATGTGTTTCCGTGTGTTTTGGTACATGGGCAGGCTGCGTCACTGAACACGAGCAAGAGTTGCTGCGCTCCAAACAGCTTTGTCACCAGAGTGGTCAATCCATGTTCCAACTACCTGCGGAGTCAATGTCCGGAATCGTGCTAAGTCCCTCTGCTGAAGATCGCGCACAATCTCTATGGGAGACATGCCAATCCCCACTTGAACAGCAGCTTCAGCAATAGTAACCCATAACAAGGGGTGTTGCCAGTTGACACAAACTGCAACAGTGTCCTCATGCTTCCTTTTGCATCCAGGTTGAACACTAGGTTTATGCGCCCTCGCATCTCTTCGAATCTCGCGATATGGGCGAGAGAGAGAGAGAAATTCTATATTTATATACCGCAACAAACAAAGTGAGCTGTTAAGACGCGGTGCCCTGTTAGGGCTGTGCTGGGGAGTGTTGTAACAGGGTGAGGGATGTAGGTATAGTACGAATAGCCAAGCGGTCCGCGTTTGATGAGTTTTGGTGTGCGTGTGGGCTCGTTTGGTGTCCAGGCTTAGTATAATATGATACACTTTCTCTCCTTCCTCCTCCTTCTGATCTCTCCTCGTCTCCTCCTTCCCTCGTCACTTCCTTCTTTGCCCTTACTCAGGCTTCTGTCCCTCTCCTTTCTTCCCAGTCTCCTTCTCGTTCCAGTGCGACCTTCTTGAATGCGCTGGATTCTTGAATAAACTTCGCTAGTGCCTTTATGCCCTTCTCCGTACCCAAAATTTCGTTGAGTATGATGTTGTGTGATACCTCACGCAGATGGATGCGTTGTCGCGCAAATAGTGGGCAGTCACGTATGATATGTTCTCGTGTTTGACGTGGTTCTCCACATGGGCAGAGGGTGGGTTCGGTTGGAACGAATGCAGCGTAGTATTCTCCCATGAATCCGTGTCCTGTGCGGCATTGTATAAGACGGCCGTATACTTCTCGAGGAGTGTGAGTGAAATGTTGGCGGGGTTTGAGCGTTGGTGGGAGTCGATTTGCGAGAGCGAAGCGTCCAGTCTGTGCTGCCACGTCTCTATTCCAACTCTCTGTCCATTTCTGCAAGATCCCTTCCTTGTTTCTTCGGCGCGCATTTGCATAGGTCGAGTGGTACGAGTCGTTACGTCCAGTGGCTTCTTTTGCAAGCTCGTCGGCACGTTCGTTGCCGATGATGTTGTGATGTCCTGGGATCCATGCAATTTGGACATGATGGAGGGGGGATGTGGTTAGGTAGTCTTCGATCGAGCGTCTGATCTGTAATGCAATGTATTGTGAGGGTCCGGGTGCAGCTGCATATGCATCGCGATATGGGCGAGACACCTCAGCAAGATCTGTCATTGGGAGGGCAGGAGCGATGTCGGATGCGTGATTTGTAGTGGCCTTCTTCATAGCCTTTTCATGGGCACATTGGATTTGTTTCCGCTCCCTATTTCCCTTACGTCGGCGTATATCTCTTTCTACTCCTTCAACACGAACCCTATGGGCATCCTGCTCACGACTCTCTAGCTCCCAAGAGAAAGGAGTCCATGCTGATTTGAGATGCTCCTCGCGTGTCATAGTTGGAAAGTACTTGAACAAACCAACAGATTTTTCCTCTTTGCAAACCCTAAGATTCAAGGAAACACATTCCGAGCTAGATGTTGTTGGCGGAGGGGAGGGGCTTGTTGCTGGTACCGGACTGGGATATGATGGAGGACATGATGAAAATTCAACGCCGAAATCGCTAGTGTCATCTGCGAAAGAGCTCTCCAAAGACTCAGAAAGTAATTCCTCAGACTGTTATGAGGAAATGAGTTTTTCGAGTCATAAAAACACAGTAAAAACGAACCTCGAAGTGGCTCTTTGTCAACATCAAAAACTCCTCCATGCGAAGACAATATTTTGAGTCATCGGTAAACAGCGGGTGGTGTCTGAAGACAGCGTACTTGATGGTATTGAGAGCCGCGATTGCACATGAAAAGGAGTCTGTCTGCTCCCCATGAGACAAGGATCCTTTGCCGAATGGTGCGAAACCGTGGTTTTTCAACCAGCGGTGGATAGCATCAACATATGAACTAGGCATGGACCATCCAAGTGAGTCGCCGTACAAGATCATCCGTGTGCTAGCATCCATGCTAACGATGGCCCAATGGACATTGGCAACATTGACAGGGAAAATGACGTGCTGTATGGTGCCATCGTGAAGCGAGTCTCCGAGGTAATGCAGCCGAGTAAAGGCTTTGTCGAAATGATACTTTGACCACCGCATGTCACCCAGGAACAATATATTTGAAAAATCAAGTGTCTCGACAGCAGTATCATTGTGTTCATCCACACGATCATTGATAGCGGCAATAAGAGCATCAAGTACACGACCATTGACCATCATGTCAGCAAGTAGAGGGAGAAGCTCTGGTGTGCGAAGACTGGTCTGAGCACCAAACCCCTTCAAGTCAACATCCCATGGAAAACGCTCAAGCGAATCTAGAACCTCATCTACAACTACTGACTTGGAAGCACCACGGCCTGTGTCCTCTTCATCCTCAAGCCTCTGAAGAACCCAATCATGGGCCAATATCCAGGTGAGACGAGCCTCCAGGGCACATGAGATGTCCCTCCAGTATGAAAGAACCCAGAATGGAAGGTGAAATATTGGGGAAAGTGGATGGATGACTGAAGTGTGACCATTAAACCAAGCCTGACCGAACTGATCGAGGAGCTGAGTGACGCAATGGAGCAGGAGAATTGACCATGCCGTGAAATCGTTGGGAAGGCTGAGGAGAGGGGGGTTTGTTGAGAAAATGATGGTGTCTGGGCTAAGATCACAGTCCAGCGATGCACAAATATTGATGTCGAGTAGCTGCGCGACAGGCAGAGTTCGAGATGGGATGGTTGGTTGCATTGAAGTTGGGATCCTGAGTAACCGTGTGATCTCACGTCGAACAGAAGGCGGCAGTTTGCTCTGGTCAAAAACACGACCACATGAGAGCCACTCTGAAGCAATAAACATATCAGTTTGTGATGGCATGATGGGCACTTGAAAACAGATCATACTGGTAGACTCACCTGGCAGGCTTTAAGACCACAGAGTCTCCAATTCCACTCGTTACCATTCAGCGCTATGTGAGGCGAATCCACGACAGACTGAAGCAAATTGCTTGAATCACGAAGCAGCATGTCAAATGGTTGCAAACAGATCATACTGGTAGACTCACCTGGCAGGCTTTAAGACCACGGAGTCTCCAATTCCACTCGTTACCATTCAGCGCTATGCGAGGCGAATCCACGACAGACTGAAGCAAGTTGCTTGAATCACGAAGCAGCATGTCAAATGGTTGCAAACGGTGTTGCGAGCGGCAAAGCACCACGTCCGATCCGCAGGTGAATCTATTTGGGTAAGGTCACAGGTCACCCGGACATTCAAACCGCGAAGATGGACCTTGACCCAGTGAATGCCGAACTTGGGTACAAGTTTCACAATGTAGGATAGTCCAAGTTTACTGTTCACCTAGCAGGGATGTAAGAATCTAACATCAATGCAACTGCAGTGTGCTTACCTCGTCAATGGACAAAAAATCTATGAGGGCGTTTTGATTTGGCCCTTGCTCGATTGCCCACCAAGCTACCTTGTAGTCACCTTCATCAAGAAAAGGGTGATACTGATTATCCTCGCTCTGAAGGTCACGGCAGGTCCGTGTATATGTAGCATGAGTAGCATCATCACACCACAAGACCCCCTCCCTGCATGAAGAAACAGAATAGTGCTATCCTACCCCCTCCCCATGTGACAAAAAATATATGTGTGCATCCTGTCTCTCAATCTCAGCCTGCAAATGATGGTGACATCCTATCTTGTCCCCGACATGCCGACAACTCCCATGCTCGCTCTGTTCCATCAATGGATAGTGTCACGAGTTCCCCAAACAAACCATTTTTTCTATCTCAATGTAGTGCCTAAGTCTAAGCACCCAAGTCACATGACCCTTTCACCTCTTCACACCCATCACATATATCACACTTCACAATGTCACCCTGTCATGAAGTCACCTGTGTCCTACACCCTCATTTCTCCCTTCACATTGCCAACAGCATCACCAATCAAGAACACAATTGATCTTCCTTCTGTTGGATCTTGGATCTCTATCTGAGATAGATCTTCTATCTAATCTTCATCACTTCTCTTCCATTACGATTCAGATCTTCCACTGCTATCTATATGTTCCTTCTTCTATCATAAAATACCCTTTGCCTCGAACCCTGAGACCTGATACTTCTCTCACTTTCCTATTTAGTTAGTTACCTTTCTTGTCTTGGTCTGTGCACCATTCTCATAAGTATGTAAACCCTAGTTGGTAGTTAGTAGTTCTCTAGTCTTAACCTCTTGTACCTTCCATAGGAATCTACTTGATGTCCATCGCTCACCTTTCTGTTTGACTCTTCTCCCCTATCCTCTTTTTGTTGTGTGTTTGAATTCTGGTCTGATGGCTTGAGACATTATTGTCGAAGAGTCGTCACAGATAGCGACATTCTATTTCCTCCAAGGTGCCATGAAGCAGCTAACAACCCAGGTAGAGGGAACCACTATGCTAGGAGCTGGGATCAGCTGGTGGAAAGCAGCCCTAATAATGCCAGTTCCATACATGACATCCTTGAGGACCATCATGCAAAGAACCGTCATCCTTGTCCACCCAACCCAGGTAGACTCAAGAATCTACATCAGCAGGCGGTGGATGAATCATCTGCCAACAAAGAGGACAAGGTTGTAGACTCACCCAAGAGGTCACATTCAGCCAACAAAGTAGTGTCTCAAACCATCGGGTTTTGTCCCTACTCTTTGAAAGACGTCCTGGAGGCCTCAAAGAAGAAGTCATGACTAGGGTTGGTCATGGATGGTGCCACTTCAAACCACAAGACTTTTATTGAGAAGACAGGTATTGAATATCTCACAGAAGCACTTGACAATTTTACAGTGGATGATATTGACATCGATGACAGCTACTGTTATGTGTAACCTCTTGGATGAGATCCGGCGGCGCTAAACCCGCAAGGGGCGTTTCGAAGCGTGGCCTTCGGCGCTAGCCCAGCAAGGAGCTTGCCTGCGCTAAGTCTTGAGTAAGGGTTGAGACCCTTACTTGCATAGAGTCGGTTTGGAGTTTCTCGAGGATACGATCCAAGAGCCGGAGTTCAATCTCAAGAGAATCGTCTCAAGAGAAGATGGTTCATTGTACAGAGGGAGTTCTCTTAGGTAAGAGAAGTTCAGACCCAACGACAAGATCAGATGAGAACCGAGTAGATTCAAGTTAGAGAATCTATCTATGATACAGCGAGATATATATATATGTAATGATGATATACCGGTGGAACGGTAAGGGTACAAGGTATGCGGTGGCAATACCGAGCCGATGGTAAGGGTAGAGGGTTGTGTGAGTCATAAGTTTAAATAGGTAAGAAGTACCGGTTGAACGGTAAGGGCAAAGGGCATGGGGAATCCCCATCAATGAGAGAACCGAAACAAGGGGAAGGGCATATGGTGTGATAGAAGCTGTGGCTTCTATGATCTAGGGGAAGAAGCGAGAGCTTCTCATGTTTCAGAACAACGGAATCAAAAGAGAGATGGAAATAGAATAATCATAACCATGGTCCAGGTCTCGATGAGTCCAAAGAATGAAATGACGTGTAACACTCATGTTACTGTAACAGCTACTGGGATAGATATAAACATGACATGGCAATTATTGTATGTATGCAGAGTCTCTCATAGTGGATACTAATTTTTTATTTTTAGTTATGGGATGACCATGCTACAGTGTGGTCCAAGATGAAAAAAGCTGCACGGTCCATTACTGCCACCAAGTTTGACATCCTACCATCAGACATTGACGATGATGATGAGTTTGAAGACTATGTCAGTCAACGAGTCATGGAGTTATTGGATGGAGGCTATTTCTTGCAGAATGGTGTCAACAAACAGGTGGTTTGATGAGAGATGCAATTAAAGGTGCTAAATATTCTCACTAGGGGAGGATCAACAACCTCACCTATGACACACTTGGTGAGTTGTGCAATACCATTTTCTATAAGGGTGACAATGCACTTGCAAAGGTCTTCCCAAATGTATTTGCTGAGGCTGTTCCTGAGGGTGCCATGGTAGGTGTCAATCCCCTCACCTTCTTATTCAGCACTCACTTCCACTAGCTTGCTGCAGCCATTGATGAGTACAAGACTGGGGTCTATCTGCTGACAAAATTTGCTGTTGACTTGTATCAACCTATCTATGAGGATGTCATTGAACTCTACAGGACAGTGAGCGGTGACCATTATCACTCAAAGAAATATGAAGTGGTTCATTAGAAGTGGGCGTGTTCTGCAGGGTATGTGATTTTATTGATAAATATACTGATTTAATTGACACTGTTCAGTGTTCTGACTTGCAGTCATACTGGCTGGCACCATAATTGGGGTCTCAAATCGAATCTTGATTAGACACATTCATTTATGTACATGTATTGACTACAACATAATCATGATTTGATTGGCGCTCTGTTATTGAATTTGAGTCTGTTGTACATTATCTGTTTAGCTTCCATGTTGCTGTGGTACTCTGTACCTCATCTATTTGGCCTCAGTAGCACTTCTGTGCCATTCTGTACAAGCTCTCATATACTTGGTACAGATCTGCACAATTCTGTACAGGCTATCTATGCAATTTGTACAGAGCTGTACAGAGAGAACCCTTGCTGTGGGCTCTGTGGCTCTGTCTAGTACTGTCCAGGGTTGTCTAGTACACCACTGATTTGTTGATGGAGATGTAAGCCCCATTTTCATTACCTGGTACAATGAGCTAACATACCCCATAGGATTATATTTGTCTTACAGCTCTCTCCACACTCCCGCTCATCTGTGATCACCAGTGCTAGTGATGTTCCAGCCCGGCTTAGGCTCGGCCTTGAGGGGCTTAGGCTCACAAGATTCTGAGCCTAGGCCATGAGCCCAAGCCAGCCATCAGGAAAAACACTATAGTTATTTAGGTAATAGTCATTTGACTATATATTATATAGCTATCTTAGGTCATAATAAGGTCATATATATTAATAGTGCTTCTCTGTATGATATAATATTGCTTTAGACACTATATGAAATATAGAGTATTATATCAATGTATGATGTATCAAAGTAAACTAGAAAAAAAATCTCTACCAGATTGTCTGATAAGAATACTTGCTAGAAAATTTATTTAAATAAAACCTTTTGCATTTATCTAATACTGTATCAGCAGTCCATTCAGCAAGAACACCATTAGAAAAGTCTGGTATCAAATGACAACTCTGATGTATAGAAGAAAGCTTTATAATGGCTCCAGGTGAATGACCATCAGCCAATGGTGCAGAATTAGTAACAAGATACATGCCATGATGAGGCTCAGGAGCTGTTTTCAGTTTGGCAAACCGTTCTACATATGCCAATGGCTCTGAAGGCCAGGTAGATGGTGCTGTCCAGGAACCATAGAGCTTGGTGGGTAATCTGAAAATTACTTTTAAATGTCCAATTCTAGCACCTAAAATGATAGAGTCATTCTCAAGTATTCAAGAACAAAACTATATCACTTACCTTGTAATCCAGTAGATTCACAGTCCTCGCTGATCATAACTACAACTGTATCAAATCTGGCTGGGCTTCCTAAGCTCTTGGGTTTAGCCTTGACACTATCTATCTCCTCATTCTGTCATATACCGGATCCGAGCACCTCCAAAAACCACCTGTGAACATCCCCACCCCCGGTCCAACCCCCTGCTTCCCCGTCCACTCCATTCCTCCTTCCCTGACAATGCACAAAGTACATCTCAGCAGGATTAGCCCTGCTACCTCCACCCGACCCTGTTCCACTTTTCCGACACTACCCCTATGTCCTCTGACCCCATACCCCTTCTATCCAACCCTATCTGGAGTTCCGCTCCTCCACCCTATCGGTCCGCCTGATCCTATCCCTACTCCCTCCGCTTTTCCGACCTGTGCGGGTCCTTCAGTTCCGCTCATATTCCCCCACCCAACTATTAGTCCATCTGACCGCCTCACCGGTCCACTCCTAGACTAAGAACCACTCAACTGGTCCTATCCCTGTTTAGTATCATAGTTCCACTTTTTGGATCACTGGTAATCCCTATACCCTAGCGATTTCTGATCCGACATGTACATACTTTTCTCCGAGCCTTATTCTCATATGTCTCAGTCATCCTCTTGTGATCCTGTACACTCAGCACATAGCCTCCTGCTATGCTATGCTAATTACTTAGAGTATATAAACATATGTACATCTGTCTGTAGATACTCAGTCTGAATATTACCTTTCCTAAGCCCTGCTCTTCTGCCCTTTGACTTAAAGCTTATCCCAAGTTAAATTCCTGTTTCCCAGCCTAGGGGATTGACTCCCTAGGTCAGCTGTCCTCCGATCCTCTGCTTCCCCGCTTCCCTGTTCCCCCGTTCCTCCGTCCCACTGGTTCTGCTGGTTCTGCTGTTCTGCTGTCCCGTTGTTCCTCCATTCCGTTGTTCCTCCGTTCTGTCGTTCCTCCATTCCCCCATTCCATCATTCCCCCATTCCATCGTTCCATCATTCCTCTGTTCCCCCATTCCTACATTCCTCTGCTCCTCTGCTCATCCGACTTCCCACATATCGGAACCCACCCCAGCACTTTGTGTATCCGTCCCCTTGGGTTCCGCTCCACTTCGGACTTTGTCCAAGCAAGTCCTCTCCGTTCCGCTTCTACTGTTGGTTCCGACTGCAGTAGACCCCCGCCTCTTTCCTGTTGGGCAGATCAACCCCTGCCCGACTTTCCCGTGCTCACCTAGTAGTCTGACGGTCCTCCTTTGGAGGACCCCCATTCTGACATCCTGTCGGAACTCATAGAACTTGTATTGGACTACATTCCGAAATTAGGGGCATGTACTCGGGTAAGGGGCGCAGCGTACGAGCTGAAGCCAAGCCCCTCAGGATCCACTTTACCCCTGAGCACGGTCTTAACACATTCCCTAGGTCCAAATCAACTTCATTGCCTAAATCATTCAGACTGAATCTGAAACCATGATAGACATCCAAAGAGCTGAATGGAAGGGAAGCATTTCTAAGTCATCCACCTGCAATATTGTTATTATTGAAGGAATTGATGAAATAGGTCAGATTGCATTGAAAGCCAGGGCAGGTATGTCTCTCCATAATTTCTTGAATGTCCTGGTTCTTTCTGGCTGGATATTTTGCGATGAGAATGCTTTGATCTTTGAATCTAGAGTAAGAGAATTCTTCATCCTCATTTTCCAGCGTCATTTTGAGATAGGTCTTGAATGAAGATGCCTATGATATAGATTTTAAGTAAAGAACATCAATATATTTCAAAAAGAAATCACCTTTTCCCTTCTACTTAGCCAGGATATCATCTGAGGCATCTCATTGCGGTGATTTGATGTGTACCATCCCTCTTTACAAAAGTTGATGTGAAAATGCTCCATCATTTCTGTGTTGTAGTTGTCAGTTGTGCCAAACCATGTGATAGAGTCGACATAATGAAGAAGGGAGTGGATTTTTGGGATGTCCAGATGTTCTCTAACTCCAAGATTGAAGAGAATATTTTTGTGACGGTGAAAATCCTTGAGGGCCTTTTCCATATATGCCAGTGAATCATTGTCATGTGAAGGATATTGAGCCAGATAGATAAAGTCAAGTAATGACCTATAGCTGATGATCACATCTCTAGGAACTTTGCCTATCATATAGCCCAGCAAAATGTGTGCCATATGTTTGCAGTCCTTTCTTCCAATCTGACCCAAGGAGGACCATCCATTCTTGAAGTGACATAGACCATAACACAGGGGAAGAGATCTGATACAGGCATCCAGTTCTTCTTCATTCAAGAGACTCTCAAGCCATTCTACCATGTGTTTGAATACACCTTGATAGAGTTGATGTAACACATCAGGTGTTATAAAAGGATGAATATTGCAGTGAGGAAAACCATGTGTCATATACCAGATCCAAGTACCCCCAGTACCACCTATAAGCATCCCTACTGCTAGTCTAACCCCCTGTTTCCCCATCTGCTCCATTCCTCCTTCTCCGACAATGCATGAAGTGCATCTCAGCAGGATTAGCCCCACTACCTCCGCCCGACCCCATTCCACTCTTCTGACACTACCCCTATGTCCTCCGACACCATACCCCTTCCATCTGACCCTATCTGGGGTTCCACTCCTACTCCCTCCGCTTTTCCGACCTGCTCGGTTCTGCTTGTCTTGTCCCACCCAACTATTAGTCTGTCCGACCGCCTCACCAGTCCACTCCTAGACTAGGAACCACTCAACTGGTCCTATCCCCGTTTAGTATCATAGTTTCGCTTTTTGGATCACCGGTAATCCCTATACCCTAGCGATTCTGATCTGTCGCGTACATACTGTTCCCCGAGCCTTATTCTCATATGTCTCAGTCATCCTATTGTATTCCTGTACACTCAGCACATAGCCTTCTGCTATGCTATGCTCATCACTTAGAGTATATAAACATATGTACATTTGTCTGTAGATACTTAGTCTGAATATTACCTTTTCTAAGCCCTGCTCTTCTGTTCTTTGACTTGGGCCTGATCCTAGTCAACTCCTGTTAGCCAGCCTAGGGGATTGACTCCCTAGGTCAGCCACCCTCCAATCCTCCAATCCTCCAATCCTCCAATCCTCCAATCCTCCAATCCTTCAATCCCCCGATCCTCCAATCCTCCAATCCTTCAATCCCCTGATCCTCCAACCCTCCAACCCTCCGCTCATCCAACTTCCCATGCATTGGAACTAAACCCTGCACTCTTGCATCCATCCCCTCCGTTCCGCTCTGCTTCTGTCATATACCTGATCCGACTGCTCTAATATCAATATCCGCTCCACTTTCCGATCACCTCCGCTCCATCCATCCTCCGCTCCATCCAATCATCGTCCGCATCCGCTCCTACATTTCCGCTCAATCGCTCAACCGGTCCCCTTCCATAACATCTCCATTCAACTGGACCTCTTTCCCCTTTTAGATATATACTTTCCCCTTCGGTACATAGACCCTTACTTCCAGATCACCGGTAATTCCTATTACCGCTCAATCACTGATCCGATGCGTACATATTGATATCCGCTCTGACTTGTGTCTTCACCTGTGTAAGTACTTACAAATTATATCCTTGGTACATAGCTTTACAACATAGTTATCCTGGTCACTGCTTCATACATAGAAGTATATAACATATCATGTACTTAGATATTTTCCTCAGTCTTAATATTACTTGTCTTCTCGCAGTTACCTCTTGTGAGAATTCTCAGTAGGACCTTGC